TTCTCTTATCTCCTATGCAACACCTTTCAGGAGGGAATACTTTCCCATGACAACTATATAATGGATGAACTATAGAATATCAACAGTCATCACATTTTCTAAAATGGTTGTTACAGATACAAGTGGTCAGTATTTGTGAATGGTGGACTCTGATCACAATAGTCTAAGGGCCTCACACAGTCCAGGTCTGGTACAGAGAACAGCTAAATTCACAGTGTACATATACAATAGTTCCTTGTTTTCCTAAAAATGTATCAGAAATGCAAGAATTTCAGAAAAATTCTCTAAGATTATATAAGCAGGCATAACATTCAAAGAATTCAAGACAGTCTGCAGCCAATTAATATGTAAAATTCATGGAAATAAATACTTCTCCCTTATCAAAGATAATTATAATGGAGGAGACCATAATTAATTCAATATTTCGTATTCACTGTGACATAATAAGCCTTATGAAGAAAACAGCTGACAGTACACACCATAACATGAGATATGATGTCTTAAAAATGTTCCCTGCAGAACTATGTCCAAGTGACTACCACATCACTTGCACATGATCATATTGTCCATGCTGGATCTAGATAAAAATAGAACTGCTCCATCATGAAAGAGTAAGTTATGCCTTACACCAGAAAACACTTCCACGTGTTCATTTAAAGGAAAGTCCATACTGCATTTCACTATACTGCTTATTAATAATGTTGATGTCACTTCAACTCTGCTATCCGAACCTCTTTAACATTGTTTGTCACAGCATCTACTATGTGTGTCATGTGTGCATGGATTCCTATCTTTGCAATTTGCAGCAGGAAACAGTGTAAAACAGTTATAATCAGGCATTAATCAGGCAGTGTTATGCAACACCATGTCATACACAACAAATGAAGCACTAAATGTGAAGGAATGACAGAGCTTAACACATTGAACCTAAATTCTGAAATTTTACCGTCAAGATGAAGTCTTGCATTACATTAAATTCAGACTGTCTTTCTTTCAATATTTCACAGCTTTACTTCTTAAAAATATCCCCCCTCCCAATTCTGTCATATCTGAGTACTAGCAACTTCCCTTAAAAAAAATGCAGGGGGCTGTACCTAACTATAGCATTTATTACTCTAATAAATTCTCATACTGATCTCATGCTGTTAACACACACTGACTTCCCTAATGCAGAGGGAATAAGCTTTAGAATTTCCTGACACAAACAGTAATTTACATGATCATTCAATTACGAAGATAAATGAATGTGACATAACAGACTCAGAAAATGGATTATTTGCACCAAACTTGAAATAACAAAGTTTAACTGACTGCTTGAGTGCAGAGGTATAGAAACATTGTTCACATCTGGAGATGATTTTAAGTGGAGGGGGGGGGGACTCTTGTTAACCAGTATGGAAGAAAAAAAAGGTTATTTGAAACAGGTTCTTTTACTGAGCACTGAAAAATAATGAAAGCAGTTGAGGCCTGATGACATGTCATGACATGCAGCCAATAAACTGTTCAGTACACTATGTATCTATAAAATTGGAATGGCATGGAAATGAATGTTCAAGTTATGTGACTGACTCTCATGTTTCATATTTGAGAGGTCTTGGGGTTGCTTCTTGGCCCATAGATCAGTTAATGTGTTTCAGTGGTTATGTCCAGTCCCTCTAGACAAATGTTTAGATAAAAGAAGAGTACAATCTTCTGGGTTGTAATGTTGTGTAGTTTGGTAGAAGTCCACCATTGTTTCAGAAGAAATACATTGCCTCCACCCACAGGTTTTAAGAGTAAGTCATGGAAGAAATCAGCAAGACACTGGCAGCAAGCACAGAAAACCATGAATATAAAACCAGGCCTCATTTAGGCCAGGAATGACTTATGAGGCAGCCAATGGTAGCATAGCAACCTCATATTTCCTTTACTGCCTACATCAGACATGGAGTTTGCTCTGATTGCTGCCTCTTTCTTGCTTGACTTACTATTTTATATGAAGATGCAGGAGATATATCTCTGCAATATCAGTTCATATCTACTGAGCTAGGGAGCAATACAATCCAGAAGATCACATTCTCTGTAGTCTCCACTGTGAGAACCTCATTTGCAACATATTGTAACGTGGATGGCGCAACAGGAAGTAGGGGTCACATGAACTCTGTGTTTCCGCAAGTGACGTCACATACCCCCACTCCTTCCATAACTATGCAATGCTCAGTAAACACCCCTCCCTGCTGGGCTGTGACGTCATGCAACAGGCAAGTCCATGCAGAGACTATTGCTAGGCAATCGGTAAACATGATGTTACGTAACAGTGGTAGGTATCACGTAACTGTTTTCTGTGTTGTCAGTGTGGAAGTTATGTTATGAGGAGTATTCATCAGAGAGAGAGAGAGAGAGTGTTACGAGCAGTATTCAGTATGAGTTGAATTCCAGCAGCTACGAGTTGAGTTGTATCGAGTGAATGGAAGCGACTAAAGCAGGAGAAGTAATTGTGATACTGCAGATGGAAGTAATTGTGAAATTGTGAATTGTGTAAGTGTAAGAGCGAGTGTTCTATAAATTCACTAGATCCAAAATGCGTGAAGTTATTTGTCACGTGTTACAAACACCCAACATGTGACAAATTTGGTCCTCTGGGCTCTACTTCCTGTTGCGCCATCCATGTTACATTATGTTCCAATAGTACCTCAAAATTTTCCATGACAGTTTTCCTCACTCTCTTCAAAATCATACTTCCATATGACACTACATAACCAATGTAATTTATAAATTAAGAAATAAAGAAGCAATCAGCATGAATATATTATAGTTATGGATAATATTGTTAATTTCTTTCATTTGTATTTATCATACTAAAATGTCACTATACAACCAATGTTGCATACAATTTTTTACAATTTACATACAATATTTATCACTTATCATTATGGTTATACATTTCAACATATTTATTTGGTCGCCCTCAGGCTATATACATTTACACACTGTTTCCCAAAATGAATACTCTGAGTTAACATAAAATATAAAATATATGATATATTACACTGTTGAAATTTCAAGTTGTGAGTCATAAATTAATGCTATATCTGAACTGCTTTGATTTTGCTGAATTAATAATTTTCTGTTTTTAAGAATATTTTTCATATATCACTTTATGTTAAAATATTTCCAATATGGTTTTATTATTACCTTTGTCTTTATGTCTGTGCTATGCATTACTGTTCGTATTGTGTGTCTTAGATTATGAAAACTATATTTGTTTTTTTGTGCTCATTATTGAAAAAAGAAACTGTGAGTACTGGATATCAACTGTGAGATGGAATGATGTGTTTTGTTGTTATCACATGTTGGGCATAAACTGTGGGATGGAGTGATGTGGTGCATTTTTATTACATGTTGGACATTGACTGTGGTATGAAGTGTTTTGTCCACATCATATGTTGGATGTCAACTGTGGAAAGAAGGGTTGTGCTGTGCTGTATATGCATTACATGTTGGATGTTAACTGTGGTATGGAGTGTTGTATTGTGTTTGTATCACATGTTGGACAACAAATGTGGGATGGAGTGATGTGTTCCATTTGCATCACATGTTTGACACTGACTGCAGGATGGAGTGATGTGTTGTGCATGTATCACACTGGACATCTATTGCACAATGGAGTGATGTGTTATGTTTGAATCATATATTGGACATCATCTGTGGAATGGAGTTATTCGTTGTGTCTGCATCACATGTCAAACACTGACTGGGATATGTAGTAGTGTCTTGCCTGTATCATATTTCTGACCTCAACTGTGGAAGCAGTGATGTGTTTCTATCACATGCTGGACGTCCACTGTGGAATGGAGTGATGTGTTGTGTTCGTACCATATGTATGGCACCAGCTGTAGCATGATGGGATGCGTTGTGCTTGCATCACATGTTGGATATGTGATGTGAATACAGAACTTTGCTCCATCTCATTGCCATCTATGGCATGAGCGATGTTTCAATCAGACCAGTATCGTAACGCACTAAGTGACTAGATATGTGATTTGGATTGGTAATTGGATTTATTGTACTCTTACAAACTGCAGCTACAATTAACTATAGTGCTATTTCTAATTCACATTCTTTACTGTTCACTATGGCACATACTAAGTCTTCCATGTCTTCATTATGCACTGCCTGGTAATGGCTCCCAACACTGTTCTCTGCTTCTGTTGTTCAACAACTCCTGTCCTTGGTGGCTAGGAACCCTCACATATCTAACCCATGATGATAACTCATGACCTAGTCCAGACTGTCTCATAGGTGCAACTCTAGCCACTGACTCTAGCTGCATCTGGCCACTGCAGATTAGCACTTACTTCCCATCTCAGAACTCATCTGTCTCATCCACCTTGAAGGCTGAGTCTGAGTCTTATGCCAGTCAGCCAGTCTGTCTTTAGAATAAAGCACCCATCTGGGGTTTATGACCAGATTTCTATTACCGTCAAACAGCTGCAGGTTTGTTGATGTGGGGCGTTCTCTCTGATGAGAGGACAGGTCTGTCGTTTACAATTGTTACTGGGTCAAAGTCCCATGGGACTGTGACTACATTTTACTGTTTCAGATTTGAGACTTCCCTTTTCATCACCCAATTAGCTCTTCTTATATGGCCTCTCCCCTCGTTGGTGTCTCCACCTTATCGTGGTGAGGGTGTTTGAGTATGCCAAGGACCCTGAGAGCTATACCAGCGGTAGCGTAGCTACTGGCAGGGCCTCCCTTGCTGGACAGGTCAAAGGGTAGGCATCAGACGAAGAGAGACACCGAAAACTGATGCCGGAAGCAGCGTCATCAGCGGCGACTTGAAGCACAGAGAAAATGATGCTCGAGATGGTTCAAGTTCGTATAGCAACAGGCGTGACCAGAGTGGTTTGAACGGCTGTTGTACTGCGATGTGGAAAGCAAATGGAAAAACTACCACATTATCACTATTCCTGGATAGTCTCTTTCCAAAAACAGAAGATCGCATTAAGTGGAGAAACTGTTTTGGAAGAGGCTGTGGACCTGTCATCTGACAGATTACTGATGAATGAATGAATATGGCCTCTATATGGACCAAATAGAGAACACCGCCTTCAGCAGTTCCTCTACTGTTGTGTATCTGTTGCAGTGGTCACATGATTTGGTTGCCATGGAAAACGTGTTTACAGAGTCATTGCCTAGCAATGCTTGTCTTCTCAAGTTCTGCTATCCCAGCTTTCAGCAGATATGTCACAATATAAACTTAAAATATAAACTCTCTGATGAGAGGACAGGTCTGTCGTTTACAATTGTTACTGGGTCAAAGTCCCATGGGACTGTGACTACATTTTACTGTTTCAGATTTGAGACTTCCCTTTTCATCACCCAATTAGCTCTTCTTATATGGCCTCTATATGGACCAAATAGAGAACACCGCCTTCAGCAGTTCCTCTACTGTTGTGTATCTGTTGCAGTGGTCACATGATTTGGTTGCCATGGAAAACGTGTTTACAGAGTCATTGCCTAGCAATGCTTGTCTTCTCAAGTTCTGCTATCCCAGCTTTCAGCAGATATGTCACAATATAAACTTAAAAAAGCACACTGGATATGAACAAAGAGATATAGCACATGACAACGAAATTATACCACTATAATGCAACAAAAGTTGCTCTGAAATGTTAACAATAAGTCTCAATATAATTACCATTATAACATATTAATTAGAAAAAAGAAAAACTAATATTCGTATATACAATTTTTACATTCATAAACATACATCACATATATATTGTTCATAACATAAGACAGACTGTAGGAATAATAATGGGTGTCAGAGAAATATGAATATATATAGCCCAGTGATCATCAAAACATGTAGCCATAATGAAAAGTGGCAAACATTGTTATGTACATCGTAAAAGTTTGTGCGCAATATTGGTTGTATAGTGACAGCTCAATACAGTATAAAAAATATAAATTACAGAACAGCACCACAATATGATCCTCAAGTATAATATGTGTAATACTGCCAACTGACAAAATTTAATAAGAATTTGCATAAACAAGAGTTAACAACCAACTCTCAGTAAAGACATGCCTTAAAGAGTTGTTATGAAGCACAACAATACAGACTAGATTTCTTACCTTAATTATGGCTTTTCAAGTGCAATTCACAAGGATTTTTAAATGAGTGTGTAACAAAAAAATCCATCATGATTTCACATATCTATTTGTAAATGCTGTTTTGGTGTAAAATAATAGGGATCCCATTACTGCGTGATGTGTAATGTGCTCCATTTAATTAAATAGCAAGTGAGACAGAAAAAATATGCATTTAGAGAACTGAATGAATATGATGTGTTCTTCCTTTTTTGTGGCTTATTGTAAAATGATGAAAGTACCTCAGACTATACAGCACTTAATGGTAGGACCACTACTACATAATGAATTGTAAAATGTGTGGAAGGAAACAGTTGTGGCCTAATTAATGTATTATCCTCACATCTGCCTGGAGGGACTGATGAAAAGTAGGAAAACTTCAGTCAGGATAGCCAGTGTTCTAGATAAGATATGAATTAAGCATCTTCCAAATATAAGTCTAGAACATAATCATTCCGCCAACCTACTCAGAGAGTGGGATGCCTGGAATGCTCAGAAACCTGTATGGAAGGTGTACATTAGGGTGTGCAGCAGTATCAAGAAGGGAAAGAGACAAAAGTGAAAACGGGAGGAGTTTTTAATTTGATCTCCCTTGGAAGGATCACACCAAATATAGAGAGATGTAAGCGCTAACTAAAACCTGTAGGTTGAGTAAAGTTGAAGTATCCTCTCTATTTCTTCAGAATAGTCTCCAAAGCAAGACTGATCTAGTTTTCCCATATTTCCACTCATTCAGACACCACTGAATGAGATCAGCCATTAAGGGTCTCTTTTTCTGTCTCACTTTCCATTTGGCTTAAGTCGACAACTCAAACGGAGCAGTTCCTTCACCTCGGAGACAGAGATAATATTTCTGAAATGTCAGCAATACAGCCAAAATCTACATGGTGTGATCACCCAGAAACACAACCACTGAACAGCTATGAAAGCCTGAAATCTTTCTGGTATAAGATAATTCTCATTCAGTCATGTTCAAAACGAAAATAAAGATTTCGATGATTTACAAGATGGTAAGACTATAGCTGATGAAGTCTATATTATGAGAGTGGGCTGTGAAGTTGCAATTAAGAAATATGAAGCCAAGAGTCAAACAGTGGTGTCCAAGATGTATTACTGTTTCAGAATTAGTGAAATGGAACACCATATCACAATGGGATCTCTATTTAGGTTGGCAGACATGTTAGTATACAACAACAATAACTGGCATCTAGATGGACGTATAATTTCTCTAAGTTTACAAACTTTCTTTCAACCCTATCAGAAGCAAGGAAAGAAAATTCTTTGTCATATAAGCTATGTGGAAGAAAAGTTTAATTTTTTTTTATAATTTTAGATTCAAAATATCATGCTAAATTTTTCATTTCATTATTCATAAACAAGGGCACCTTTCATTAATGTTACTGAGACATGAATATTTAAATTTAATACTGCAGTACTATAGCCTTAAAATTAATTTATAATTTTACATAGTAAGAAAATATACCAGTATTAGTCTATGTCTGCAATGTGCAGCATAAAATTACACTACCGCTCATGCATATTTTCTGTAGTGTATTACCAAACATACTTCACACTTTAAAAGGTGGATGTGCTAGGTAAATGTAGCACTCATGCTTACCAGTTCCTTTTATCGCACTCCCATACATGACATACAAGGAGGTTCTGAGCACAAAAATAAAATTGGAGAGCCCAAACATCACTAGCACTGTGTTTCCTTGTGCAGGGCTCTGGCGCTACATCACGCCATGCCATTATCAAGGTGGGTCCTCTTTTTTGAATCTGTTCTATGTAACCTAACGTCAACATTGGCAGCAGATGAAGCTCCCACTTGATGATCTGGCGTGGATTTAAGAAGGTCTGGTTGTGGTCCTTGTTGCTGTTGTTGGCTAGTGCAGCCTAGTGTACTGCAGTGAACAGCAGCTGTTGAGCTCAGTGTACTGTAGCCAGTCCCTCCAGCTGCTGTGGGCTGACGAGTCCGTTGAAGAGATCGATGTGACCCATTGCGAGTCAGGGTGCCCATCTGGGGTGTTCCAGGAAGACCATGTCCAAGAGCATTCATATAGTCGGCAATCAGCAATGTCAGCTCCAGAATCTGTATCAGATTTTAAATACAGTTAACTTTGTTTTTGGAATCACTGGGTTTTTGGACTTTGTCCATCATCTGGTATTCTATAAACTAGAAAACACAATATTTATGAAACTGGATCTGTTTCTGTCCTCAGATGAGTGGGGAATGCAAGACGCCTCAGGTAGATCCCATAGAAACAGCTAACTTCAATCACTGGACAACCCCTGTCAAATTCACTACCGCTATATAATTACCTGGAACTAGGCTAATACAGTGGGAGATAACAAGAAAATATGCAATAAAAACTGTGATATAGCATGCACATGTGTGCAACTGCAATAGAAAAAAGTAGAAATTTATAGCCTAAATTTAGCCAAAAAAAAAAAAAGGCCTAGGTGATGCCCATCCGGGCTAATTTGTGAAGACATGTAGTGCCTACTGCTAGCGCCAACTGTGGAGTAAAACCTGAACACTAGATACTAAAACCTTAAGGAAACCCATGAAGAACCTATCATGTCATACAGATATCTGTGAGTTGGAAACGTCATTGCTGATGAGGGGGATCTAGATAGGAGAAATGTCCAAACTGGGTTGGCTGACAGGGGTTGTCCAGTAATTAAGGTTAGCTCTTTCTAAGGGACCCAACTGAGTAGGTGTCTTCCACTCACCCCTCACCCAAGGATGGAAACAGATCCCGTTTCTGAAATGCTGTGTTTTATAGTTTATAGAGTATTGAACGATGGACAAAGTCCAAAAACCCAGTGATTCTGAATGTTATACACCATCGTCAGAACCATTTAGAATTCACAAGTACTTTATTTTCTTTGTTTGGCTCTGCATCAGAGAATCAGAGTAAATATAAGTTTTGATATTGCAGTGTACAGACCCATTGAGCAGAGACCTTGAAATGGACAACCAATGCAGCCGTTTCTATGCAATAAGCAGGATGCACATTATGAAAATAAACACTAAACAACAGTTGCAGACAGTCAACAAGAAGGTAGTCTTCAAGCTTGGAGAAGGACAAATAGTCAACAGCCTTCCAGTATAAATGTCCTGTGTTACAAGATTCTTAGCAACTAACTGGATAATATCTTCTACCTTTAATTCTGAAATGGCCAAATGTTCCAATGGATATCAACACAGAGCAGACGATACCATGTCATGCCATACTATTGGCCTTCTGCTAACCAGACATGTTCAAATTATGCCATATTCCTCTAGCAAAAATAACAGGCTAGGTACAAGAAAGGGTCTACATTGCAAGGAAGGAGGATACATGTACCACAGCATCCGTGTAAACATATTCTTTTAGGACAAACTATTCACCAGTTGCCAAAGAGTCATTTATCTTCACCCTCTATTTTATAATGGGCAGTCAAATGAAAACAGGTCACCATGCATAACTCACATGGCACGCAAGTTGGTAACACTGGAATTTGCTTATGGTATGAATATCTGGTGGGAACTCAGGAAAGCACAGTGATGTGACCTTGCATACTAGTTGATTGTTTATTGTGCTGGAAGTAAGGTTAGCGCTACGTGTGGTCGTCCAACATCAGTAATGGAGGCGGGTAAAGAAGAACAGTGAAGTGTAGTGCGCTTTTTGACTGCTGAAGGAGGAGGAAGACAAGAAATTCATCGTCGCATGTCTGTTGTTTACGACGAAGACAGCATGTCACGTTCACGTGTGCTGGCGTGGCACAAGAGATTCCGAGAGGGACATGTATCACTGCAAGATGATGCTAGTCCAGAACAGGCTCATTGTGTCATCACTCCTGATGTTATTGCTGCGTTGGATGGTCATATCCAGGCAAACCGACGGATCACTGTGGAAGAAATTAGTCTTTTGATGGCAATAAGTCATGGTTCCATACACGCCATTGTGACAAAACACCTGCTGTACTGCAAAATCTGCGTGCAGTGGGTTCCACATCAACTCACGGAGGAACAGAAGAATCAGAGAATGGCTGCATCACTGGGTCCCTTGCAAAAATACCATGAGGAAGAGTATGCTTTTCTGTCCCATATTGCCACTGGGGATGAAAGTAGTGCCACCATTTTGAATCTGAGAGCAAACAGCAGAGCCAACAGTGGCAACATGTGAATTCTCCCCCACCGAAGAAATCCAAACCCGTACACACAAGTTCCGGTAAAGTGATGATGACGTTCTTCTTCGACTGCAAGAGCCCTCTGCTTGTCGAATTTCTTGAGCATGGGGCCACAATCAGTGCACGGCGCTATGAAGACACTTTGCAGAAACTGAGACGTGCCATAAAGTCAAAACGCCCTGGAATGCAATCGAACGGCATTATCCTTCTTCATCATAACGCACGCCCCTGCCCCCACACAGCCAACTATGTGACGAACACGCTTCAGAAATTTGGTTGGGAAGTGCTTCAACATCCCTCCTACAGCCCAGATCTCTCCCCATGTGATCTTCACATTTCTGGAGACCTGAAGAGAGACATTCGTGGACAACGGTTTGCATTGGATGAAGATGTGTGTGGCTGGGTAATGATGTGGTTCTGTAGACAGCCCACAAGCTTTTTCAAGGATGGGATTGACCATCTTATCTCCCAGTGGGATAAACGTATTAACAGTTTTGGAGATTACTTTTGAGGTAGTTAGTTAGTTATTGTAAAGGGTGGGTTTCCCCATGCACTTAGACCAGTATTGGTCCATTGTGCTTCCCTCTATGATATTCTACCAGTCTCTATACCCTACCGATATTGGTGCATACCATCAGTCCTGCCGAGCCAGCGAGTTCGGCATCCACTAGCTTGGCGGTGTCTATAATGCTTCCCCCATCTATCAGAGGCCTTAGAGACTACTGTTGGGCGGGAAACGTCCTTGAATTTGGCTCAGTGATCTCCTTTGGAGATATGAGGTTCTTTTACGTGCCGTAAAGCTACGACACAGGACACACGGCTTGAAGTCCCTCCCGGAGGACTTGTTCCCTGAATTTTTCCACCCTTAAAATTCGACGACCTCCGCTGGGTATTTGAACCCGCGTACCACAAGTCATGAAGTGGGAACGTTACCTCTAGACTACGGAGGCTGCTTACTTTTGAGGTAAGAAATGTTCTTTAATATATTTTGGCTTCTGACCCGTTTTCATTTGACTGCGCCTCATACATAAACCTTTTTATTTGCAATGTACCAAATTTAATTTTAGAACAGATATTCAGTTCTGTTGTTGGGATTATAATTTGTGATGGAGCACATTCTCAGAATAAGCAAAAAGTCAGCAAGATCCAACACCAGATCATGAGATTAGCTGTACACAGTCAGCAGACAGAGATAAGAGAGTGTAATACTATTATTATTCCTTTACCTTTGGCTTGCTAAGAGCAAACAGTAACTTCTGACTGCCTGCACCTTCCTCAGCTGATACCACAAGCATGAAGTCATCCTGACAGCCTCCAAATGTAACAATGGCTGAGTAAGGATATCTGCAAAAATTTCAGTTGCTGGTTCACCTACTTATTTATGAAAAGTACCTCTGCTTGATCACATAAGAGACTGTCTTGAACTTATATTTATTGTTTGGCTTTACTGCTGACATTAAATATTCTATAAATCCCATAAAGGAGTTCCTTACATGCATCACAGAGAAGCACACAAATACTGATTACAAGGTTCATGAAACATAAATAAGTTTTATTTGAATCAGATTTGTATGCTATAAAAACTGAAGCAGAACTGTTTTTGTAGGAAATAAAAAACGTCAAGAACCCAGGAACTGCTTTAGAAAACTGATGCACAACTTACACACGGTCCTACTACTCAGCACATCCAAACTACAGCCAGATTAAAATAAGGTGTGTTACTATCTTCTCTTCTGAAATCCTTCCAACTTGAAGCCTACTTTATTAAAATGACTGCATCTGTCTGTGACATATACAGACCTTACTTTCCTTCCCTCCCTCCCCCTTCTCCTCCTTACCCTTCTTCTACTTGTCTTCACAAATTAGGCAACTGAACACCTGTAACATTCTAGAAACATTCTTCCTAGAGTTGCCTTGGATATCTTTCTATTCTTTAGTCTACAGGTTTTTAATTTCATGCTACCTTTGGCTACCTTTCCTCTTCCATTCCCTAATTACATTTCATTCATAATGTCTGTTACAAGTTTTCATTCCTCCTGACTTGAAGCTTATCTTGGAGACTACAGTTGCTTGTATTATTGAAAAGGAATGTTATTATTAAAAATCACACTGGTTGAAAAAAAAAGCCTAAATTTCTCTCACTGTTAATTTATGATATCTCTGTACAGTACAGAAATTTCAGTGATAAGCACAAGTATTTATTCTCAGTGCAAATAGGGTTTACAGATGAATTCTAGATTTTTCTTCTTGATTTTATTGTTCTAGAGTATATTGAAAGAACACAAGGATTCTTGTTGCAGCTTTATTAAGCAGCAACCAAAGTAACTGTGTTGGAAAATATTAAAATTCATTATGCATAACAACTTGTGTAGCTGACTGCTGTGGGTGACTTCATGAGAAATGATCTAACAGAAAGAATTTACAGATTAACCTCTATCACCTTATTTTAATCATCTATCTGGATTGTCAGAGTAGAACAAATTTCCATATTAAATTAAGAACTATAAACTAAACAGAAACATACTTAGCAATGGCCTGCATGGAAGCCAGCTCCAGCAGGGTAACACTGTCTTCATTGACCACAAGCCAGAGCATTGTTCCAAGTTCCACCCCTGCCCATGGCAGTGGGCTATGTAACTGAGCTTGGAACAGGGATGCCCCAAAATGTGGCCACTTGCGTGTGCATGTCAGATAGATGCGCACACAGTCCAAAAGGCTTCGTCCTTTTAAAGTTGCCCATTTCTCTTGCAAACGTTCTTGCAGTTCCCTGTAACAGTTATGGCACCACTACTAGGAAAATCGTACTCCATCTTGTGGTACAGCCAGTTTGTGGTGGATTAAACTTGACTTTCAAGATTTAAATCTCCCACTATTATCATGCTGGAGCCTAGATTTAAATTTGATGGTAATGGGATTTATGTTGTAAAGATGTGATACTAAGACTGCTGGGGTCTGTTGAACCAGTGCACGCACCACAACAGTTGTGTGACGCACAGATAATAAACTTCAAGGGTAATGGAGATATTGGGCACCTGATATGTGTACAGAAATAGATATAACATGAAAATCATCAATGAAGCTTACTGTACCTGTTACACAAAATAAAATTCAAAGTATATTTAATTTGAAAATATAACCTGATAGAACAGTGCTGTCCAACGTTCTTATGTACTTGGGCATAATTCACTGATGCCTATGGAGGTGCGGGCGACACCACACTCAGACATTCAAAAATGTCTCTTGTCTTATAATTTGAATTAATATTAAAAATTGGCTCAATTATATGTGGTTACGGAGGGCGGCAGAAAAATATACCACGGGCGCCGCGTTAGAATATACTGTTGAAATATTTTGTGCAGGGTTATATTAACTTAATTACAGATTCTTATATTCCTTTTCTCAGCCCTGATATTAATAAATTAACAAACTATTAAAATCTGTGGAAAGAAGATAAATAACATGCAGAAAATAGGTTTTTCATTTAACCATTAGTTTGGAACTAAGAAAAAATTAATGTTGGCAACATAATAGAGCAGTGTTGGTCAAAAGAGTAGCTGGTACCCGTAACAATTGGAAGGAATTCATATAATTATAAACAGCAACATAACAATAACTTAGTATTACAGATTCTGTAGTCTGGCCAGTGACAGGTCCATCACCCCAACTGAATAGCACTGAATGAAAGCCATGGCTGAATGTTTCATCCATAAGAACTATGGATATACCTTCACTTCTGTCTGTTACTATGCTTCTTAACTATGACATCCTCAAAGCTCTGACATTATTGTGTTCCACAAGGGTTTGCCAATTATTCTTTGTTTTTGTCTACACAACATGTAACCTCATTAGCACTTTTATTAAAGTTGATAGGCTCCCTGTAAATTTGATTCACTGGCTCAACTTTGCATGGATTTTCTTCAGGATTTATCCTTGCTTGTTGGTACCACGTCTGCATGTTCATCACTCTACCAACTTGCAAACCAACTGACAGATTTTCATGAAACTTGATATGAACATCATGTCACTTGAAGCCATATTGACTTTGGACGTCATAAGTCTGTATCATCAGGACTATCAACATGGTACCACTTTGAACTTCTGTAATGGGGGCAATGCCAGTACCATTACTAATGCACTACCAGTGGATCTTAAAATTTTGTGTGCTGACAGCTCTTTAATAAAAATGCAATTCATATTACAGTAATTTACTTTCATACAGTGTGGAACAACATGGCAATCATACAAAATCAGTATTTGGCTTTTGATTTGATAGCGTTAATTAGTGAACCACTGAAGCTAAGCATATGAAGTTTTGTGCAGTGGAAGATCATAAACATATCTAAACAATTTGTATACTTCATATAAACAGTATTCACTTCCAGCTAGTGCCAAAGACAAGAAAATGTGGATATACATAATTCACTCCCCCATACACCTTCATGGTGTAGGGCTTAATCAGGACAACTTTACCTTTTTACCTATATCAAAAGTTACAAGTATGTCAACAGTGCAAAATTTTGGGATACTATTATACAAAATTAATGAGGTTACAATTTGTACTAATGTAAATTAAGCACAGAAATGAATCACTAAATTGTATAATTATTGATTTATAGTTCTTGCTAGTCTAAGCACACAGATTTCAGAATCTGAAAGAGAGAAGTCATAATACATTTTTCCCAAAGCTTCTCATTAAAATCAGTCTTACAATTAACTGAAGTAGAAACACCATCTTACCTGAGTTGATCTGGAGTCAGTCCATCCTTGTAACGGTAAGGGTAGAACTTGTCCAGGGCCTGAAGTACTAAATGATGCAGGCTTCCTGCCACACCACCACTCCCTCGCCCCTTATCAGCGTTGTATTCTCCAAAGTCAATCTGTCAACCAGTAAAAATTATACACAACCCATTCTATCTCAAGAACAGTTCAAGAGCAAGCAAAACAATATAGTTATATTTAATAAACCACTGCATAAACTGTTTAATTTAAAGGACCATTAAGTATATGCATATTAAATAAAACCATGTGATCATTATGTCTTCACTACTTCCACAACAAGAACAAGACATTTATCCAAAATACTTCATGAAATCTACAAACATGTAGTTCTGACTTTGCATTCCACTTGTGGTGAAGTCAGATCTACATATTGCAGCAGGATGCTGCAATTTAATATTATTTCAAACTTGTAAATGGAACTTTGATCTACATCATTACAAATGAAAGCAGAACAACTTCATATATTTAAGGTCTGGTGTAGCAAATGTCAGTAAAAACAGTAGCATGGTGGTTGAATGGCTCTTTGTTTTTCAGTACAAAATGCAGGTTCCTTTAGTGTACAATAAAAGTCTTGGGAGATAACAAAATATTATTGGAAGAATTTACTGACTTACATTATATGGCAAGGCTTACAAGAATTATAAATTAATAATTATACAATTTAAGGACCCATTCCAGTGTATAATTTCTATCAGTAAAGGTTCTAACTATCATAAACTTGACACATATTTTTTGCACTGTCACTATTATTTTAACTGTAAAAACATTAAAAAAGGCTATAGATTTTGCCAGTAAATTTATGATCTACTTAAGTCGTTCAAAAATGATTGACACTCCCTCAATAACTCTGGAAAAGGAGCACTGTCAAATGCGAGCTGGTGTATATGTGGGAAGACATACTATAGTGCGCCTATGGCCAAAAGATGATGTTGCTACTATGCACAGGTCGAACAGTGCTGCGTCATTTATGGCGGTGTGCAGGTGCAGTCGTGGACAATGCTCAGACAACATGGAAGCAGACAATCACGGACAACGGTGGACTGTGTGGTTTCTCTGAGGGAAGGAGTGGCTGCTTCACACATTCACACGAGGTTAGCAGCTGTATGTGGGGAAGCAGCAAAAAGTCATGCGGGGTAAGATGTTCACCTCCGATGATGAGCTTCAGGCAGTCGTCCAGTAGTGGTGCTGGGATACCCCAAAAGAATGGTTTGCTGTGCAAATACGGAAACTGCCAGAATGATGGCAAAGGTGCATAGACATTGGCGGGGAATACCTCTAATATAATCTGTACGTATTTCGTTCCAATAAATGGTTACTGTGAAGAAAAAACATTTAGTGTCAATCATTTTTGAACGCCCCTTGTATATCCACATAAAACCTAAAATGACTGTTTGTACTGGTTTCTTTGTTATCGCCATCACTAAAAAGCTAAAAAACAAACACACACATATGCAAAAGGACTTAACAGAAGGTGCATGTTTTTCAAAGATTATCATCATCCATAATTTCAGAACCTTACATTAAATGGTGATGGTATTGTTGCTCCTCCCCCTCCTCAGACATCTTCACAAAAATAATAATAACAATAAAAAATAGATAATGTAATATTTTCATCAAGTTTCATACAAATCTGTCACTTTATTTAGAAGTTACAAGGCGGTCAGACACAAACACAATAACACTATCAATTTTAACTAAAAGCTGAGAAATTATAACATGAAGGTCTGCAGTAATATTTGGAGGAAATATCTGAAAAGAGAAATATTTAATTCACCTGAGCCATGAGTGCTGCCAGTTCCAGGGCCAGCTCCTTGTTGAGGGGGAATCTGCCATGGATGACTTGTTGATTTACTTGGTAACAAAGCAGTAGTCGCTCCCTGTCTGTCTCCATCTTAGCACTGTGTCTCCAGTATAGTCGGTTCTTGTAGGTAAGCTGAATAACACGTGTGTTCTCAAACTTGCCAGAACCCTTTTCTCTTAATGCTGTCTCCCACTTTGAGATCACATCACACAACTGTGAACATAGGCAGACTAACTAATTTTCTGGCAACAACATCACTAATACCAATATCTGGCATTAGACAAAGTCTCAAGCTAGTTCCATTCATTCCTCACAATCTATTTCCCTATGATCCATCTTAATGACATCCTCCCACCTCTTTCTTGGTCTTCCAAGTGGCCATTCTACAACATGTTTCTTCACCACAATTTTGTGAGCATTCTTTTTCTCCCTAGGATGTCCAGTCTCTTATGGCCTCCTAGATTTCACTATCCTAACAACAGCAGCAGGTAAATTTCCTTCTTATGTACTACACTGAACTGTCAACTTACAACACACACAAGTCCTGAGTACTATGTTCTTAAATAATTGTAATTTACATTCTTTCTCAAAGAAAGCGTTGATACCCATATACAATAAATGTCAAAATTACTGTTTTGTGTACCCTGATATTTAGAGTACTGGAAAGTAGATGGGATAATAACAGTTTTCACAAAGTAACAACATTCATTTCCAGAAATTATTTTTCTCTCATTATGAACCTCATTTCTATTTATCAGTTTCATTCCCAGATACTTGAACACAGTTAATATTCACAGTCCTTGAAGTGAGTGTGTGTGTTTTTTGTCATGTTAATTTTCCAAATAGAAGACAATTTAATATATTTTTTAACAAAGTAATAATAATCGTCACCAGAAATCATTTTTCTTCTATTATGAACCTCATTTCTATTTCAGTATCAGTGCCTGGGGGGTGAAGCTGACCACTTGCCTCCATATAGTGCAAAGGTTAAGAATTGTGGAGCTACACCTCCACTCCCCCATGTCTTCATACTAACTAGGAATAGATGGACATAGGAATAGAAAGTAACAGGTGGGCTGGATAGCAGAACTGATCTGCTCAGTGCTCTTCTTATGCCTTTTACAATGTCAAACTAATCTTGGCAATGTACTGGCAAGAGAACTTGACTATGTCCATGATTTTAGGACCTGTTTTACAAAGCAAAATGATTACCTTTGCCTGCAGCTCAATGAAGTGTTCTAGGTCTTTCTCTATAGGGTCATCACTGAAGAGCGTGAAGCCTGACTGTGCAGAGTCTCGGGAACCAATTTCCTGGTTTAGGGTAGACAGAAACTCTTCAATTGTCGTTGATCCATCAAAACTGATAACCTGCAACAGTTCCCCTTCTTCAATGCTTTGTAACTAAAACTAAATATTTAGGTTTTATGACTGTATGCTGCCCAGAGATTAACTAACTCTGTGAAGGGATTTTCTGGTCATCAGAAATAAAATATATATTAGGAACTAGCTGTACCTGGCCACGCATTGCTGTGGCTCAGTCTAACGAAATATTTCAATTCAAACGCAGATCGATCGACACAGCTCAATCCCACCGCCAATTGCACTGAAAAACAAGGAAAACAGTTAAGAAAACGAAATGAAAAACAATGAAAAATAAACTGTACTCACGAAATGAATGCTATGGTAAATGACACAGCCCAATTCCAACGCAACGTCACACAAAATAATTAAATCAAAATGAAAATAAATCAAAACCGTTTATATTCGGCGGTAGCTATCCCAAGTTTGACTCCTTCGGCGGTTACTTCCAGACTCTCTTCTGTATCCCTCAGCATCTGCCCCGAGACTGACTGCTTCTTGTCCAAGCTGGACTATTTATACCTCGGCGGATGCTATACAATGAGCCTTCTGTTGTCTATCACCGGGGAAACGCTGCCAGAGTCGAATCCAAAACTCTGGGTGCAAACTCAGGATCTCTGCTGTGATTTCACTCCGAATCTCTTGTGATACCTGTGACCTTGTGATACTCGAGACACTCGTGATACTGAACAGTCGCCGGAGCTACACTCTCTTATACACATAGCCAGCGTTCGGACGGGATAGGGAATACCTTATCGAAGAGTTAGTTTCATCTGTTGCTTAGGAAATGCTAGCATAGAAAAACCTTGTAGAAGTGTTCGGTTTCATCCGTTGTTACGCAACGGAACCTCTTATCCTCTCATCTCCGGGGAAATGCATCTGTTGTTTCGGCAATTTCTATGCAACAGCCCACTGTTGAATTTCCATGGAAGTATACTTTCCGGTTTCATCCGTTGTTACGCAACGGAACCACTTATCCTTTAATCTCCGGGGAAACACGTTTGTTGTTTTGGCAATTCCTATGCAACTGTTATTGCGTTTCCATGGAAGTATACTTTCCGGATTCACGGGTGGCCGGGTACAGCTAGTAGGTATATAAAAACACGCGCATTCGAATGCAACGTTGTGTCAAAATTTCGAAGCAATCGGTGAAGAACTTTCGGAGATTTTCGAGGGCTAACAAACGAACATTTACGTTTTTATTTATATAGATAGGTACATAGTCTTGATACTATATGAAGACAATAAGCACAATAGACCATTGAAGGTCACAGTGCTAGGGCCAGTTTTATGGCTCACCCCTCATATTCATATGAAGACAATTACATTACTTCAGTCATGGTGGTAGTTGTTGTTTGTCACTGTCATCATCACCATCATCATCCATAGGTGCTGGTGGTGGCCAGTTTTTTAAACATTAATCTTTATGTTTGATAAAAGTGGTGACTTTTTGATCAGATGGAAAACTATCAGCTCTTTTCAAAAATATCCTGCAGCATGTACCAGACCAACGAAACAAAGAGATCCCATTAGTATATGTGTGTATATTTGAGAAGCTGTGACCATCCCCTTTCTTCCTTTATACTTACATACATACTTCTCAGGTTTGTGTCATGGCAATAACTAAGGCAACCGGAAACTGCACCTTTGAAGCCAGTCCATGGCTCCAAATCAATGACAAAACAACTTCCACTGTCCATACACTTTTTATTTATTCAAAAGCAAAACTTTTGAAAACTTCCTTCATGCTAGCAAGGAATAATGTGGCCCTTTTATATATTTAAAATTTAATATTCCAAAAATAAAGGCCTGATTACTTTAGACAAACATGAGGAGTGCCGTCCAATCATATATGACTCTGATTAATATAACATGCCAGCTCCCTCAAGACAGCTATCTTGTTGGAGCGTTGTTTCATCCCTAAGAATTTTTTAAATTGATGATGTCACTCCAAGACAAGAATTTATCTCTAATTGGCTCATTTTAACTAGCAAAAGCCATTCCGCATGGCATGCACAAAATTCATGTCTTCAGAAAACTACACACATGCCTCCCGTGGTGACCTTGTTCCCTTTCAGTCATCAAAATTGTATGTAAAAAAAGGCGGGGGGGGGGCAGTTGTCTTCTCTCCTGATACAAGGATCAAGTCAAAAGTCGCTAGTAAATAAGTCTCCCCAGCAAACCAGTCGTCCCTCCCTAAATGACTAAGGAGGACAAATAGTGTCCGTAGAGAAATATAACAGGTTTGGACCATCACAAAAGGAATGATTCAATCCACCATGACACCGTTTTGGTGAGATAATAACGGGATTCACTGGTATAACAATCCTACAATGATTACCTGATAAGCCCCATTAAGCATGTGAACTGGTATGGCATGTGGCAGTGAATGATGATATGGATTTTTGAGCAGAATAGACAGCACCTCCATACGTGAAGGTTTGGCTTCTCTTCCACCATTCTGCAGTGTTCGTTCCAGGGCACGTTGACAGTATGCAGCATATTTACCACATTCACTCCTGCAAAATAAAGTAAATTCATTTTAAAAAGTAAAGGGTAGTAACTTCTTTTTATATCACCCAATACCAATGTCCTTATAACAGTGTTCCTCAGTTGGTAGTCCACAGACTGCCCCTGGTCCTCAAATTGTAGTTAGTTTTATATGACAGGGTAGAATAATTACCATTTTACAATTTTCCACTCCTTTTTTTGGTTTCATTTTAGCAGCTAAATATAGTCTGTGCAGAACATTAGTAATTTTTTTCTGGGTATCACTATATAAACCACTTAAAATTAATTTTCATTCTGCTAGATGCTGTCTGGATATTTTCTGACAAATTATTAATTGTGACGTTGTGTGAAATTCTTCACTGTGAATGTTCAATACAGGCAATACCTAGTCTCTTCAATTTTAACATTACATTAAAGCACTGATTTTCACATAGTAAATGAATGTGTTCTAGACATGCCAGCTTGTTTCATCTCCCAAGAGACGTTTCTGTTTTATACCGGTTGATGGACAAAAAGTCTCTAATTTATTCTTCCTTCCCAAAATCTTTCCTTTTTCTATTTCTTGCCAGCGATTCTCTCTTTTCTTGGATTCCTCCAATATCTGACAGAAACATCTTGTTCTGGGTCATCCCATAGACCTTTTTCCTTCAAATTTTTATTATAATGCTCTCCCTAGTAGCCTTGTACTATCCTTCAATTTACATAGCCAAACCACTCCGTTAACAAATTCTGAACTCCAGCAACTTCTCTAAGAATCTCATATCCATTACTTGGATTTTGCTTCTGTATCTCTGTGTAAGGAACTGTTTCATTGTTTTATGTCAGTAATCGTATCTGTTTAAAAATACTTCGTACTGTTTTGGGATTACTGTGTTCTTCTAACAGGTTTCTTTATTTCCCCTTCTCAGTTCATTTCACTTCCAAATAAATAAATAAATAAATAAACAGATGGATGGATGAACAAACTAATGAATGAACAAATGAATGTATGGATGGGCATACATATGAACAAACAAATATAACTAAATAAATAAACAAACAAACAAAAATTTGCTCACTACTGAGTATTATTCATATTGTAGCAGTTTTGCTCAAAACTTTTCTAGGCAACAGGTCGGTATACACATTCCAATGTGCATCAATGGAAGATGTGTCTCAGTGGATGAATGTTATAGTTCGTTAATAGGCAACAGTCAGTGTGCCAGTGAACTTGCTGGCTAGGAATCACATGACTTGTGTTTCCTGTGTTGTCTGCGCAGAGCGTATATAATGCAAATCTGTTGTAGCTAAGATTAGTGCAGTGCAGTGTAGCTAAAGTCCAGGAGAGTTTTCAGTTGAGTTCTGATGTTCCAGGGTGATGGAACAAAAAATGGCAAGAAGCCTTCATAGTGATTTGAAGTGCTAGTTTCTGTGTTGAGATTTGATGCCAGGAGAAGACTACTGAAGACAGAGATTCCTAGTGCATGTGCAATGGTAAACTGTGAATTGTGTATATCAGCCATAGCACTTTATTAATTGTAATTAAGACAGATTGTAACTGAAGTGCCAATAAATCCAATCATATGAACTAGAACCTGATAATTTTGTCACATGTAACCCCAATACACGTGACAATATTGTATAATATCATACTGGTTGCTGTTGAACTGGATCATGAATTAGAAAAGGATCAATTAAGCATCACACCATGAAGACATATAGGGGAGTGGAAGTATAGCTCCACCATTCTTGACATCAGCACTAGATGAAGGTGAATGGTCAGCTCCAAGACCTGGACACTTTAGTCCTGGGGAAAGATCTGTCAGTATCAATTAGGTTGGAGATTGAGTGGGCCACTGAGTTGGTCTGGATGATGTGGAGAAGAGAAATATCTCCTGGCCTTGCTGAGAATCTAAGCCCAGTCATTCAGCCCACAGCTAATTGTTATTCTGACTGAGCTACCCTGGCTCATGTGGAGATTTTGTTAGTTAGTTAGTTTCTTTGTTTGGTGCAGTACACAAAACTCTGCATATTGATTATACTGACTTCCTCATCCTTGAGTCAAGACAAGCCATTTTCTTATAAGATGAGTGTGAAATTTCTCTCACCAACTGAGTAATGATTTTTTTCATTGTTGGTGTAAGGAAAAGCTCTATTACTATCAGGAAACTGAGTAGGATCTCTGAAACAAGGTGGTGCATGATGGTGCACCGGCATATTATGCAGTAACAGTCTGAGAGTACCTCAATAGCATATTCACTGGACTATGAACTGAGTGAGATACAGGTATGACATGGGCTTCAAGTCCAGATCAGCCAAAATGTGATCATTTACTTTGGGGCATCATGAAGGACAGCACTTCCCAACTGCACCAAACAAACATCAAAGATCCAAAACAACTTTTAAAATATTCGGGCATCAATGCGTAAGAAAATAACTATAAGAATATGAAAATTGGTAAAACAATTAGTGGAGAATGGAGGGTAGCAAATGGACTTTGTGGCCAATCTGTAGGAGGGAGTAATAATATAACAGAAATATTAACGTGGCTTGTCAATACAAATTTCCACTGAAATACACTCACTAATGCCAATACTAGCAATAGATATGTGGAAGCAATCTTTTCTTGTTTATTCTAAAACTGACAGAAAGACATTCTTTCAAGAGCCTAAGCTTCTAGTCTTTCCCAAAATTGCTTCTGACTATGAAAAGAAGAAAGCGGAGCGACTAAAAAAATGCTTACTTGGAGTCAGCATTGCGGTGGAGATGTAGTTTCAGATACCAGAGGAGACGATTGTTACGTGGTATGAAAAGTGACACTGCTAGAGCAAGTAACTGCCAGCCCTGAACAAACACAAATGTCGGTGGATTGGTCTTGCAATCTAGCAGTGGCGGTGCAGGTGGAGGGGTGACCTGTAGGGAAGTTGGTGAGCCCCGCTGCATTCCTCCAGCACTGCTTCCCCCACCTCCATTCCCTGATGAAGATGAAGAGTCACACGCAAAGAGTGACTGAGTAGCACACAGCAACAGCTGCTGAAGGCATAGAAAATAAAGAGAACACATTGTAAGAATTAGAAGAAATTGTGCTGTTCAAAAGAAACAGATCTCTAATCCATTCAACTTCATACCTCAGGAGAGTAAAGGTACAGGTAAACCTATCCCTGTAACAGGCTGTGAAGGCCCATAGGGTTGTGAGACGCATTTTTCTACTGTCGGTTCACAGATGGCGGTAAGATTGTTAGCCTTAAGTACTGGCTGCCCTTTACCCCCAGGAAGATTTCTGATACTCATTTCTCTCAGAGGCTGAGTCAACCCCAGGACCATAGTGCAGCTGGAAGGATTAGGTAAATTGAAAAAAAATCCACCTCATTGGTACTTGAACCCACAAACTTTCAGTTTGTAGCATACTGCCTCAGCCAACTATGCTACTGCATGCCCCATGTCCGAAGAGAAGCAATAAAAAAATTGCAACCACAATAACAGAAGAATATTTTAACGTATTTTAGATCTAACTAATTACTTGTAACTAACTAATAACTTCATGGAGTTGAGTCCTTCTTGAGAAGCTGTCAGTAATGCAGCTACTTAAGAATTTCCCTACATTTTGTGGAATCAGAAGGTTCATTATCTTGTTCAAAAGAGCCTGCCACTAGTCCCTATCCTAAGCCACATCATTCCAGTCCATACCACCCCATCCTATATCTCTAAGATCCATTTCAATATTGTCCATCCTCTTATCTCTTGGTCTTCTTAGTGGTCTTCTTCCTTCTGGCTTTCTCACCAATATCCTATATGCATTCTGCATCTCCCACTTTCATACTACAAGCCATGCCCACCTCATCCTCCTTGATTTGATCATGCTAATTATACTCGAAAAGGATTACAAGTTATGAAGCACCTCATTTAGCATTTTCTACAACCTCCTATTACTTCATCTCTCTTTGGTCCAGATATTCTCCTCAGCACCCTGTTCTTAGACACTCTCAGTCTATGGTCCTCATTTAATGTCAGAGAGCAAGTTTCACGCCCATACAGAACCACGTTTTTATACAGTAGACAAGATGACAAAAGATTTGGGACTGAATGCTAGCAAACATTACCCAAATTCAATCTCCTCATAATTTCCTCCTGAATCAAGTTTTAATTTGTTAATGTTGTTCTCAATATTTGAACTGTGCTAAATTTTCAAAGGATCTGTTACCCCTCTTTATGACAAAATTTTGCCATGAATTCTGGTGATGAGACAGCAACACATACTTATTTTTCTCTGCATTTACTTTTAGACCAACCTCTTTACTGACATCAGTTAATGTTTCTGTGTTCTTCTTTATGGTATTTGTGTTGTCTTCCAGTAGATTCACATTATCAGCATAGGCCAGCAGCTGATGTGTCCCATTTAATTTTAATCCCAACTTGTTTTCCTGTACCTTTCTAATGACATATTCTAACGGAAAGTTGAAAAGCAGTGGTGATAATGCAGCTTCCTGTTTTCACCCATTTTGGATAGGAAAATTATCAGACAAATATTTACCTATATGGATTTTATTACACTATACTTCTTCAATTCATAATAACCTATAAACTGAAACTTATATGTAGTTCTTATAGATGTTCAGTGCTTTATGGTTATAATGAAAGAAACATATAAGCATAAAAATCATAAATTTATACGGCATATATAGCAAATATTCTGAAATATGGACAAGACTTTCTGTATCACACATTACATGTTATAAAATAGAGAAAATAAAGTATGGAAACATGAAACCAGAATGTTAATGTTCCAAACAGAAAAGATTCATCTAAGTTAGAAACAGAATATTCTGATATGAATAAAATGGACTTCATATTACTATATTAAAAAACAAATCTCATTTGTAAAAATGTACTGCATGCTTGTACCTAATGAACAAGAAAATTTGTGAACAGAAGTCTATGGGAATCCCATATCTGTAACATGAACTTGATATTTCAGAGACCCAATTAAAACTACATAATTAATGAATGATATAAGAAAATATGTCTCAGAAGCAAAAATTATTGCATTCTTGAGGAAAAGAACTGTAAGAGCAAGCATTCCATTAGGTAATACAATATACTTGAACAAGTGGGAAAGTTCGATTATTTACACTTCAGTATAAGGTATAAGACAGACATTATATCAATAACAGGCTAATAAATTTCAACAGTTTTGTGGAACTAAAAAATGCATATTACTAGGTAATAACAAAAGGAACCCCTACTAAAATTCCGTAAAATAATAACTAATAACTGTGAAAGAAAACTGGACCAAAACAATTTGAAAGAAATTGTAGCTAAAACAGGATTAAATTCACTTGTACAGAAAGTGCATGAATCTCAACTATGAGGAAACGTTATCCCTCAGTGTTAATAATTTACAGCATACAGCAACATGAAAGACTTTACAGTAATCCATGCTTATACATAATACTTACAAAATAATTGTCCCTGTCACAAATACTGATAGGACTATTTATAAAAGATGCATATTTAATGTCAAATACATGGCTATAAATAAGTGTCAGGTACTGCATACTGTCTGTTGCAAGAAATAAATCAAACAAATAAACAGACAAACAAATGTATAAATAAGTAATAACAGCATAACCAATTCCTTTAGCAGTGGCTGTTTACTCAGCAGATGAAGAAATTGTCTGGTTTTATCAAATCTGGAGATTTGTCAGTGAATGCTACCCTGAGAAATAAAGAAGACTGTAGTAAAGGTTTGTTTTAATAATCTGGGAATGACAGAAAAAAATATATTACACAGAAAACAGAGAATGTCATTTTAAGCCTTTATTTATAGCACTGTAAGAAAGTTCTCTAAGAGGAAGAAATTGGTGTTTACTGTATTTAATATAAATTTTGCAATGAAGCTTTTATGAATGTGGACAGGCCACTTGTGAGAACTATCTATCTATATAGGAACAAAATAATAATAACAGTAGTAGTAGTACTAGTAGTAGGAGCAGCAGCAGCAATAGTAGTAGTAGTACAGGGTGGGGCACAGAAACTTCCTTTTTGTGAAGATGAATTATGAAGGGAGGGGAGGTCGCAGAAAAGTGGGGATAGGCTCGGTGAATGCAGCAGTCATGGAAGTTTCTGTCTAATACCCCTCAGTAGGAAACATGAGGTGGACCAGTGAGCAGCGTGCGTTTGCTGTTGAAGCCTATTTCTCAAACAACCATTCTTACATGGCGGTGCAGCGTGCGTTCCGTACTCACTTCGGAATTAAGCCCAGAGTTCTGGTTCCCTACGGGAAACCGAATGTTTTGTGGGTAGAGAACTTTAGGACAACCGAGAGTGTGGTGAAAAAATCGTCAGGATGACAATGGACCATTACGATGCCAGAAAATGTGGAGGCAGTTCGACAGTTGACTTTGAGATTTCCAAGACGATCCGCTCGCAAACATGCAGTCGCCCTAGACATATCCAATCGTTCAATGTGCCAAATTCTTCATGAACATCTTCATTTCCATCCCTATAAGATGGTTGTTGTGCAAGAATTGTCATCACGTGATTTCCAGAAACGAATAACGGTGTGTGAAACGTTATTGGAAACTTTACCACCCGATGCACTTGTTTTCTTTAGTGATGAGGCACATTTTCACCTATCCGGATATGTCAACAAGCAGAATATGCACTATTGGAGTGGTAACAATCCCAGAGAGCTCCATGAGAGGCCACTTCACAGTGATAAGGTGACAGTATGGTGTGCATTGTCGAGAGTTGGAGTTATTGGCCATTATTTTTTTGAAGAAGGCAATCATGCAGTTACTCTCAATTCACAGCAGTATGTGGACATGATTAAAAACTTTTCTGAACCAGCTTTTGAAGAAATGCATCCAGGAAATGTCTGGTTCCAACAGGATGGTGCCACGGCCCACACAGCCCGAGCTTTGATGACAGTTTTGAAGACAAAGTTCCCCGGACAGCTCATCTCGCTTTGAGGTGACATCCCGTGGGCGGCGCACTCACCTGATCTAATGTCCTGTGATTTTTTTTTATGGGGATACCTCAAGGCAGAGGTTTTTAAACATTGTCCCACAAACCTGCTTCAGCTGAAGAATGTTATTCGACAGGAAGTAGCCCAAATTCCGGTGCACATGTTGGAACATGCAGAGGTGAACTTCAGAAAACGGTTGCATCAGTGCATAGAGAACAGTGGCCACCACCTTCAAGATATTTTGTTTAAAACTACATGATTTAAAACTTTAAAGTATGTTCTTTCATTATCTAAACATAAATTTTGTCTATCAGCAATAATTTTTCTTTTATTTGCCTTCAAAGAAGGGAAGTTTCTGCACCCCACCCTGTATAGTAGTAGTAGTAGTAGTAGTAGTAGTAGTAGCAGCAGTCATAGTAGAGATAGCAACTACAACAGTCACTTTAGTTGTTCATATACTATGAATCCATCATATGTTTCAGTTTTTACTATTACAATACTTCATTGATGCTCAGCTTAAATGGATGTATGACAAGGCAAACATATGAGGGCTATTTGGAAAGTAACTTCTGGTGAGCTGTTAACAAAACAAGCAATGAGAAAAAAATTATTATATACAAAAAATACATAGAGGGGTTGAATAAAATAATGGAAACACTACAGATACCATACACATTATGGTGCTGGACCACCTTTGCCTTCAATACAGCTGCAATCCTCCTTGGAATGGACTTGTACAAGTTTTGAACAATCTCTAGCAGAATTTATACCATTCTCCTTGAAGAGCATCTTCAAGTTACTTTAGAGACGTTGCAGGTTGTTCCTTATTCTAGTCTTCAAAACTGACCAGAATGGTTCAATGGTGTTCAAATGTGGTGATTGTGCTGACCAGGGAAGATAGTGAAGTTCACCTTCACGCTCTTCAAACCATGACTGAACAGTTCCATCTGTGTCAATTGGGGCGTTGATGTCTTTGAAAACTGCACTGTTCTTTGGAAATAAAATCTGGATCATGGGAGGCACTTGACCGCCCAACCTGTCCACATACTCACTTGCAGTAATTCGGTCATAAAGAGTAATAATGGGACCAACAGAATACCACACTATATCTGCCTAAACCATCACAGAACTTCCCCATGTTTCACTGTTGGAACCAGGTATTCTGTACTGCAGCCTTTGTTGGGTGTTTCCAGATGTAAACTCATCCTGATATAGGGAACAACATGAAGGACAATTCATTTGACCATATCATGCATGCATTTCCAATTGTCTGATGTCCAGGTTTTATGGTCAGGACACCATCATTTATGCATTTGAGCACTACTTTCAATAATCAGAGGTTTAGCAATTGCATCCTACTGTGGATGTTGGATTTGTGAAGCTCACATTAGACAGTTTTTGTGGAAACACGGTCTTCAACATGAATATTCAGCTCTGCTGTCAACTGTGCTGTGGTAGTTGTGTGATTTTTTAAACAATCATCCACAGTGTATGACGATCTCTTTCTTCCAGTGCTGATTTTCTCCCACTGTTCCTCTTCGCTAATGTTGTCTTCCCATAATTTGTGTATGTTGACATAATTTTAGACACTGTTGCTCTTGACAGTCCCAATAATGTGGCAGATTACATCACAGATGCTCAAGCTAAATGCGCACCAAAAATCTGTAATGACCAGTAATGTGATTACCTCACATGAGCAAGCTCTCTCCTGCTCCTACATAATTGGAGGTTACTTTCTGAATAGCCCCCGTAAATTAAAATCATTCTATAAAGTCCTTCTTGCAACACACATCAAATCACTTAACAACACAACACAACACAGTGCATTGTTAGCCAGATATAGGAATAACATTAACTATAAATGGGCATAACATACAACAATGAAATATTAAATCAAAACAAGAAAAGTGCATTCTCTGACACATCCATTACAACACATAACAACACATTTGCACCACAGAAGCTCCTGTTGTAACTCTACAGCTTACCAGTGAATTTCTTTTCTATAACTACAGCAATTGTTTGATTGGTATAACTTAAAAAGAAAAACAAAAACAAAACCAACAACAACATAATTTTATCATGCAATGTCAAACTTTATGTTTCAGAACATGATAATTTCAGCACACAAGTAATGGCAATGAGTTTTGCAGCTCTCCATAGTTATTCACAGGGATAACCTAATTGATGGCAACAAATAATTCAAGACAACTTTTGTTTTACCTGAATTCATCAGTTTATTTCCTTGAAAATATAAAAATTAAAGTGGTCAGCTCTTCTCATAAAGTTACATTGAGAGACAGAAAATAAAAGTCATCAGCAATCCATGTCATATCATTATTCTAAATGTCTCTTTTTGGAAGAAGAATGACAAATTCATAATATGATCATATAACAAGAAATACCTTCCCCTCAACACATCCTCAGCTCATTCTACATGTCCTCACATTACTGATCTGTAAATATCTATGACTTGTATTTTCATCTTCTGGGTTATGATACCATAAAGTCTGGTAGGTAGTTTCCAGTGATTTAGAGCAACACCAGTATCTACCTATTAGAACACACAGTGTCATGACCCAGGAAGCCACAATCTCTTACATATATATAATTTGCATTCACTAACATATAAAATGGCAATTAGAGATTTTATTTAATTTCTTTAGCTAACTTCATTACATCTGATATACTGTTACTGTCAATCATGCATGGATGCCTTAATTATAGGCTAAATTTTGTAGGGTAACAAAATAGCAACTGACAACAGTATCATAAGTGTTATTCTATTTTAAAAAAATTCAACTGCCTATACATGGATTTAAACCTCTCAGTATTTATCAACAAAATTTTCGAACTAAATTATACTAAACTGTTTGTCTGTATTTAGGAGCACATTTATTTTCTGATTTTCAATGTTATACTGATGTACAGAGTGCAACAATTATTTTGGCTCATCTTAATCTGTTCATAAAGAGACAAAACACTCATTACTAATCATAAAATCAGGGGCAATTCTTTGTGACAGAAACACTATTCTATTAAATTAAACTAAACCATGTGCAGCTGAACTATGATAAAGCATGCCATGGAAGAGAAGGAAGAATAATACACATTGAAATATTAGCAATAGCTCTATTATATCATGATACAGTAAACAAAATTCCATATATAAAGTGGCCTTATGCATAACTATCATCATCAAAGTGTATAGGGGGAGTGTAGACAAGACTGTATGCAGTCTAGACATCAGCACTAAATGGAGATGAGTGGTCAGTCTAATGCTCTGGCCTTCTTATTCCCAGTGCCTAGTGGACAGAAGATGTGGTGGTTATGTCCCAGAGCTACTACAGATGGACAGCAAAAAGATAACTCATTTGCCTCTTCCAGGAATCAAAATTTGGTCCTGTAGCACTTAATTTACTGAGTTATTCTGGCTAACCTATCCATGAGGTAAGATGGCTCAATTCACATGTAGCAATTTCTGTATCTAAGAGAAAAGAGCAGGAGGAAAACAACATAGCAATGGGGGATACATAGACAATACATGAGGGATATTTACAGTTTCTGCACCTTAGACGAGGTTTAAGTGTGTGTGTGTGTGTGTGTGTGTGTGTGTGCGCGTGCATGCACACGCACATGAAATTAATCAAATATTGTGTTGCCAGTCAATCCATGGTTCATTAGAGATGGACTGTTAGTAAAAACAGTGAAGCCATTATCATTTTGTATAGAAGGAGAAAAATATCTATAATAAATTGTAATGGTTAGTTATGTTATGCATTTCTTCCTGTAAGATTAAGTTTTGTGCCTCACGCTGATGATGAGATAAGGATGTATACTGATCATGCACTTAGCTTGTGGTCTGTAATGCACCTGGGTGGCCTACATTACTCCATCTTACACTGCAAATGCTGGTGCCATATGAGCAACAGTCTGTTTATTCCTTATATCATACAGACCAAACATACTGCCATATATAAAGAACTGAATAATATTTCAGTTTTGGTACATCTTCCCTCTATTCCATGTACCGGCACTAAAAGAAAACTGGGGTGCAGGCAGGAAAAGCAGCAACCACACTTACGCGGGAGTGCTTAAACTTGGTGATGGTCCTGTTTACCTGGACCCCAATTTTGTGCTGTGTGTGTCTTGAGGTCTGCTTCACAAGTGCACACATGAGTTCTGCCTGCAGCTCTGGCATATCAAGACACTGTTGCAATGCATTCTGGGCCAGAACCACATGGTAGTCAATCCCAGCACTGTCCAATGCCACAGAGATGAACAGTTGGCAGGACTATAACAGAAATAGTGCTTACTGTAGAAATCAGACACTGAAAACATAGTTAACATATCTGTAAATAAGCATTCAAACTGACATGACCATTTTATTCCTTATGAAATGTGTAGGCATCCAGCGGGTCTTATGATCAGAGCTGATATCCACTCAAGAAATATGTGGTCTGCTATGGAAAATGGTGTACACACGAAGGTTTCCTACTTTGGTCCCTTTTTGCATATAATTTATTCTGTCACAATCTATACCTTTCATGAACCACTTCCACTGTTATACAGCATATGCTATCTAACTTCAGGGAGTAGAGTCCTTCTTGAAAAGCTGATGGTTACTCAAGCAGTAAAAAACTCATGACCTTTTACGAAACCCTAAGCTACATTCATCACATAAGCTTGCCGCTGGACACAGTCCTAAGCCAAATGAATCCAGACTAAAGCCTCACATCCTAATTCTTTAAGATCAATTTTGATGTTATTCTTGCACCCATGTCTACATCTTCTAAGTGCTCATTACCATCAGGTTTTCCAGTTAAAATACTGTATGCACTGCTTATCTTCTTCATGCATTCTATACATCTCACACATTCAATTTACAATGATTTGATCACCATAATTATATCTGGTGAAGAATACACATTATAAAGCTCTACATTATGTAATTTTCTCCAGCAATCTGCTGCTGCTTCTCTCTCAGGTACAAATAATATTTTCAGAATTTTGTTCTCAAACACCCTCAATCTATATTCTTCCCTTAGGATGAGAGACCAAGTTTCACATCCATATAAAAAAATGGGCAAATGTATACTTCCTTACATTTTATCTGTAGATTTTCAGATAGGACATGGGAAGGCAGAAGACTCTGAACCAAATCACCCAAATATTCATAATTTCTTTGTGAATATAATTTTGATTTGTTACAGTCATTCCAATATATATGAATTTTGCCACATTTCCAAAGGATGTACTAAGAAATTTTGACACTGTGTTCTTGTACTGCACTATGGCAATGGGACATGAAAATATTGTGGCATATTTGCTCAAAGCAAGAACTGTGGAGACAGAGAAACAGCCATTGCTAGGTAATGCCCGCACGCAACAATAGAGGAGTTGTAACGATATGAGATGTGCTACATACAGCTGTTGCTACAGAACAATTCAGTAAATACGTTTCCACAGATATGAATACACACAACAATAGAAGTGCCATGTTTTCTGTGTGGTTTGTGCTGAGGGGTTACAAAAAGGACAAAGAAGAACTTTGGAATCAATTCAGTTTCAAGATACGAGCCTGCCAGGACATGAGCTTGGGACCAGAGAACTTGATTTAAGGAATTGAGGCATCAGAATTATTGAGTGTAGCTCAGTTGAGAGCTGAAAGTCTATGTGTGCTGTAGTACAGTGATGATTTGAGTTTGTGAATCAGTGAGACTGTGATAGATCCTGTGTGGATGAAAAAATGAATATGTAAATATTGCACAGATATAAAACATCACAAGACCAGCCATAAAATAGTTCAAATCAGTACAAGCCCTATAAGCCAAAATACTGATGATTTCTGAAAACAGAGCAATTTCTTGTGTTGGGTTTATTTTATTTACAGAGTATTTAACGATGCTGGCTGCAGCTCAGCACCATATGATATGATGATTGATGAATAATGAATTGGAAATAAAGTGGAAGTAAGCAGCAATTGTCTAATTTGAGGTATTAATCCAGTATTTACCTGGAGGGACTACAGAGAATAAGAAAAACCTAACCAGAATAGCTGGTCTCCAGACCAAGATCTGAGCCCAGGACATCCCAGATATTTTTTTTTATTTACATAATATTAGCAATCAGAATTGTGTTTGATTCAATAAGCTAATTTGTTGTAGTATACTCACTTGACTACAACATTCAACACTAAATGGATATTTAAAGAATTAAATGATTTTTAAGTCCATTGGTTCACACCAAGTAAGAAGAGTACATTTATTGTGAGAAACAGAAAAGTTAATTACCTTAAAAAGTTTTATGGCTTCAATCTGGATGGCCTCGGAAGACAGTGTAGTGAGTGGGGACGCAATACTTTCCTTGCTGTGCAGCAGATGGGGATGCCTCCACAGAACACAGTCTGCAACAGGAAAAAACACGTGCAAATTAATTTTTCATTATTAATGCTGCTGCTGTTGTTTTGACTCCTTTAACTCCCCCCCTCCCCCCCCATTCAAAATGTGTTCTCACCTTGGCTGACTGTGGCAAAAGAGTTTGAACACATGTTCTATATCCACCAGTGTTGATTAAAACACTGGCAACACCTCAACATTTCAGTATATATTATTAGTGGAAAAGTATCACTGAAAATTAAGTCAGAAAGCTTTTGAATTTTTTTACTTCCTATCCTCTTTTATCCTGTGTTCCTATCCCATCCCTATATTTGTCCTTCATGTAGAAACAAATACATGTTGAAGCACTTTTTAACAGTTAATGCTGTGAAGACAATGAAAATAACAATGCTTTCTGCAAGAGCATAACATATCCACAGTCTATTATGAGTATAAACTGTCTTCTGTTACATAATATACGCCAAATTATTTGTGCAAATGAAGGGGAAAAGATGCATGACAATAAAAAAAATCCATGGCATTTCTTGAGTTGTTTCTCATGCAGAAAAAGATGACAGCCACACAGACTGATAGAAATTATTAGGCACTCAACAGGGCTCTGAATGCACTTACAGAATGGTTTACAGATAAGCCACTAATCAGATATCAGATGTGTGGATAATCAGGAGTCTACTTTATATATTGTGACATGACAGTATAGCTTAACAAGAGACATCTGTTGTTAGGAAATGGCACAGTAAACATGCTCTACATCACTAAAGAAGCTAGCCATTGCTGGGCAATGAATAAACACGCAATAGAGGAGAAACTGTTGGAGAAGGTGTTTTCTTTGTGGTCTGACCTGAGGCTATATGAGGCCATCAGGTGGGTCACAGTCAGCCATAGCCAGTGAGTGACCAGTTCAGGAAAAGTTACTTGAGAGCTGACAGATGGAGTAATGAGTTATGACCAGGGCCTGGATTTTGATGACATGTGTCATCTTTTTTCCCCTGTAACCTATGCGATGCTCTTAAATATATAAATCTCAGCTATGGGCTGCTGGTTACAGAAATGTAAATTTTATAGGTTATTTTTTGTCATTTTTAGGTTTAAGGTAATTTTTGGGCTTTTAATGGTATTTCTTGTCTTTTTGGCCATTTTAGGGAATTTTTCTTCACATGTTTTCTGAAATGTGAATAATATGGAAGCAAAGTGTTCTTTTTCTTTCTCCTAAGCACTCTCTACAAAGGCCATAAGTATACAATAATAGGTTGTAATCCTGGCCCATCCTTTCCATTCATTTCGCAGAAGTGCTGACAATACATACCATAAAACAAGGTACAGCGATGACTACTAACACTGCGGCTCTTTGTACAAAGCAATTTGCTTAGTCACACTTATTTATAGTCGGAATCTCTTGCTTCATATGACATTGTTGTTCAATAAAACCCCTTCTGTCTTCAGTTCCTCGCCCTTGACCATACAGATAAAGATACAGTTGATGAAAGTTTCTCGGTGAGAAAAGTTCAGTTCTGTGTTGCGCTAGAGTGATTAATTTTATCACGATGCCAAAAGCAAAGCCAACTAAATCATGCCATTTAAAGCAATTTGTAGCTGAGTTTGGAGATGATATATTTTCAACTGATGGTGACATTTTATACTGCAAGATGTGTGACACAAAAGTAGCGGCAGAAAAAAGATTCATGGCCGCAACAAACATATACGAGCAGTGCAAATTTCGAACAAAAAGAAACATGTGCAAATGTTACTGTAACAGTGTTCATCTGGAGGTGGAAATATGTCATTGGATTTTTTCAGAGATCTGTGTGATGCTCTGGCATCCGCAAATATTCCGTTTTTGGCTCTGAAGAATGGAAAACTGAAAAATTTTCTGGAAGTAAACTGTGGTCATTCCATCCCAGATGAATCCACCCTCAGGAAGAACTACCTTTCCCAGTGCTACAACAGTATCCTGGAAATGATTGGGAATAAAGTGCATGGGAAGATTTTCGTTTCCACTGATGAGACCTGCGATACGGAAGCTTGCTACGTGGCTAACGTCATCATTGGAACCTTGGAAATTGGTGGACCAGGTGAAGTGTTTCTGCTTATGACTGAGGTGCTAGAATCCGTTAATCATTCCATAATTTGTAAACTCTTCGACAGGTCGATCTTTCTACTGTGGCCAGAGGGTATATGACACAACGTCTTGCTTTTTGTGACTGATGCAGCCCCATATATTGTAAAAGCAGGCAAGTCAATAAAGTTGTTTTATATGAAATGAGTGCACGTTACTTGCCTAGCTCATGCACTGCATAGAGTGACGGAGGAAGTGAGATCAAAATTTCTTCAAATAGATGCTCTCATGTTGAGGATGAAGAAGATTTTCGTCAAGGCTCCAGCTCATAAAATGCATTTCAAGTCTATGGCTCCTGGTGTTCCACTGCCCCCGGAACATGTGGGAACAAGGTGGGGAACGTGGATTGATGCTGCAATTTACTATTGCGATCATTTTCAGGTAGTGAAAAACATTGTAGATTCAATGAAGATGGAGGATGCAAGAGCAACTGAAGCTGCTCAGGAACAGTTCTCGTGCATTGAAATGGAAAGACAGCTGGCCTTCATAAAGTCAAATTTCAGTTCCTTGACAGAAGGAATCCAATGCTTGCAGGAGAAAGGAGCAATGCTAGAAGATTCGCTTGCTCTGGTGAAAAAAAAAGCCAGTGATTTGGAGAAAGTGTCAGGGGACATTGGTAAAACGGTGTCAAGAAAAATTGAAAGTGTTCTGGATAAAAACTCAGGTTATGAAATATTATGCAGCATTCCTCGAATTCTGTCAGGAGAGTCCTTCAGCGCTTTCGGTATTGAAGAAGAACTTACTGCTAGTGATTTGGTACACTTCAAGTATGCTCCCATTGTGTCTGCATATGTGGAAAGGAGTTTCTCCAAGTACAAGAATGTGCTGTCGGACAATAGGCGCTCTCTCACTTTCGAGAATATCTGCATGTTGACTGTCATCTATTGCAACGCTGAATGAGGTAAGACTTAAATGTTGGAATACATACCATATATGTACATTTGATAAGCGTTCTAACACGATAGAAAAAATCGTATTAAAATATTTAGCTTCAAATTCAATCAATATTGCTTAATTTTCAACATAAAAACGAGGATGAACTTAAAAGAGTAAAGATGAGTTCAGTGTTAATAAAGATTAAAAATACATTTTAAAATAATTAGTAGATATTCTGACTTATTACATTTTTGGGTCATATTTTAGGTCACTTTTCTTTATTTTTTCGGTCATTTTTTAAATATTTTCAGGTCATCAAAATCCGGGCCCTGGTTATGAGTCAGCGAACATGGAAAATGAGGAATTTAAATTGTAGGGAATCATGACTGAGCAATGGCTAGTGAGGACAAACTGAGAAGACTTAGTGTGTTCTGTAGAAGTTACATATATGAATTAGTGACAGTGCAATAAATCCAAATCCAAATCCAAACCCTATGTCTAGTCATTAACATGTGACATTATTAATTATCTCTAACCTAGAAAAGTTTTTATTAAAATAGGAAGGTTGTGGAAATGCTCTGTAACAGTGACATTCTGAATTCAAGATATTGGTACCAACTCACTTGGATCACCATCAGTTTCCATTAATTTCTGAACAAGCTGCTCATACTGTGTTCCAGCATTTGGCCCTCCTCCAGATACAACAGTTAAATGATACATCCAGGAATCCTGAAATAAGGAAAACTGGCATATCAGCCTTCATGAATGCAACAAATACACTGTCCAATCCTCATTTACTCCCACCAATTCTACATGGCTTTTACTGCAGTATGTACCTCATTCCAGTCTTCGCTAAGGAACATTACTGTACCTTCTCTTGCTTGCTTGGCATGAGCAAGTATGTGGGTCCCTGGTGAGTTGGAAAGATGCCAATAGTAAGCTCTGTGCTGTGACCATCCCCTTCCCGATCTTCACTGTCAGAGTCAGACACATGATCAACCTCCTCTACACGAGCATCTCGCATGTTGATTTGACCAACGGGGTTCTGAAATGAGGGATGATAGCATAGCTGCGAGGTAATGTTAAGTGAGTTCCTCATCACTGTGGTATAGCAAGGTATTCTCTGAGTGATGGTGGAGCAGACTGCCTCTTGCAGGGTAGCTGCAAATCTACTGGATAAGCAGTCAAGGACAGCTAATAATGGGTGGACTTACAGCTTGGAGGATGGTTCACTGTTAAAAACAGGAATACTACAAAGTCGCACAGGGCCTCACACATGCATGGAATTGAACCTTCGAATTACGTAAAAAGTGAAGAGCTTCTTCAGCAGCTGAGTGACTATTATCTTCTCAAGAAGCACTCTGCTCTAAGGACTTAGTTGGCAAGTGCTAATGAGCAATGGACAAACAGCACATTATTCCTTCACTATATGCTACACTCAACCATGCTCTGATTTGCATGTAGCCAAATTTTCATCCTTCTGAGTATACTACCACAGATATTCCAAATGAAATGTATGGGCCTATAAAGGACAATGGTTTACTGTGGCTCTTAAATTTGAGCTCTGTTTAATATTTCTTAAGGTTACTTTTGAAAATCAAATGTAATAGATTAATTCTGCAATAAAATATATTTTCAAATAAAAAAGCATTTGAAGAAAGCAGTCTTCTGGGATTTGGCACCGTGTATATGTGGTGTTAACCGACATTTCGGAGGAACGTATCGCCTTCATCTTCAGGGTAGAAGGAAAAATATAAGAAATCTGCAAGCTAAGAGACCGTGAGAACCGGTAAAAGCAGTCTGAAGATGGAGGCGATACGTTCCTCCGAAACGTCGATTAACACCACATATACATGGTGCCAAATCCCAGAAGACTGCTTTCTTCATAGTCACCGCCGTGAAAGCCTCAAATCTTACAAAAAAGCATTTATTCAATTATTCATAAATTTTAGAAACTATCATTACAGTATCATTTATTTACCACTTTTTTATCCTTTCAATACCATCAATAATTGAAGAACATTAGTTCAAAGACACTGCACATACTTTCTCATTTAAGACTGACCTCAACTATAGTACCTTACAAAAAAAAATTAATCTGTTATTTCAAAGACCACTGTTGGTTGCTGAATCCTAAATGACAATGAAATCCATCTGATCAGTAAAGCTGGGTTTGACAAGATCAACATTTCACATTTTGGCCCCTACTATATAGACCTTTATTATCCTGAAGATAAAAGCCATGCAGTTTTATTTAGGGATATGGGCTCCATAAATTACTGAAACAGTACTGAGGAAGAGTACCAGTTCTTCATCCTAGTTTTATTAAAATAAACTGTATTAAATCATGAATATATGTTCATGTTGCCAGAGAAATGTGAAGATGTGAAGCAAGGACCCACTCTACTGTTTGGTCAATTATAGAATCAAATTTTATGTGTGTACATTCATTTCAAGTTACCTTTTAACCACTTATTAATTGAACACCTTATTTTGTGCATACTCACTGCATCTCCAGGGTTTTTGAAGTAAAGAAACATCTTGCCAATAAGCACACACCAGCATTTCTTGGCATGACCATTCTTCACTTTTGTCAGCCAGCCCTGTAAAGTTGGTTTGTTATCTTCTTTGCTAAGCAGCAGCTTCGTTGCATTTCTCCGCTGAACATTCTGTAAAATATCAAATTTCAGTTTCCCTATTCATGTTACCACCAATGTCAGACCAAGCATGCTAGTGTAGCAGAAATGCTCCAGACTTTAATTTAGAAGGTGTTCTGTTCAAATATAAGCCAGGCAACCAGCTACTGTGAGTGAAGTATTTCACGGTTTTCCTCAGTTCCTCCTGGCAAATGCCAGGAAAGTACTTCGATTAGGCTACGAGTATGATTACTTCCTTACACATCCCTTCCCATTCATCAATTATCACCATCCTACCATTTGACACTACACAGTGTGAGTATTCACTAAATATGGAAATTCACTAGATGTGAGCATACTGAACTCAAATTTCACTGTAGCTGAAGTCATACAATATATATTCTGCTCATAAGTCACCTGTCTGAAGACCACTAACCTGAAGAACACGAATCCAGTCCTCCATAGTTGCAATGGAATCTGCAGTGAGGTAGTAAGTCTTTTTCCCAGTGGAAATCTCAAAAGTAGCAGCACCATCAGCGCGTGTAATGCGACAGATCTCATCCAGGACTATCTGTCCTTGTGGCTTTCGATTTATGTCATTCTGTAATCATAAACAAGATTTCTCTTCAGAACTCTGTTTTTCTTTATATTACATTGCATTCCCTCGTTTCAAAGTTAGTCAAAACGATTGCAGGATGTGGAATATGTCATATAAATACAAACACATAAGTACAACTTAAATTTTCACATGAGAAAATGCAAGCAAACACAGTGGTTACACATAAGGCTATTAAAAAATACATACACATACATATATCCATACTGTTACCTTATACTATTTACAGATCTTTCAAACAGATGAGTAATTTTTTAGATCATAGGTATTCATCAACAGAACAGAATGAGTGTGTGTTTAAATATTGTTTTAGTGCTATTTTAAATTGTACTTTTCATTCATAAGACTTTTGTGATCACATACATTACTGAAAATTTTGATCCCAGCTTAATACGCTCTTTTCTGAAAGCATGAATGGATAGCAATTGGTTTATGAAGATAGTGCTTGTATCTTGCGTTAACACTGTGTACATCTTCATTGGTCTGAAAATGTTCATTATTTGTAATGAAGTTTATTAATGAAAATACATATCCACATGGAAGAATTAAGATCTCTAGTCTCTTAAATAGTTCTCTATAAGAATTACGTGATTTGATACCCATCATGTTTCTAACAGTTTTCTTTTGCAATGTAAATACTTATTTGCTGTCACATGAATTACCCCAGAAAAGTATTCTATATTTCATTAAAGTGTGAAAGCAAACAAAATAAATTGAATTGAGAGTGTCAGTGCTACTGATACGCAACACAGATCTAACTGCATAACATGCTCCACTTAGCTTTAGAACAAACTGATTGATATGGTTTTTCCAGTCTAAATGATTATCAATTTGTAAGCCAAGAAATGTTGTGTTTACTGGCTCTTCTGTATATTGTGGCATGCAGATCTGTTGCTAAGTAATGGCCCATACATATCAGCAGAGGAATGCGTCATGTATGCGGTGACATCACACAACAATAGAAGAGGTGTTGCAAGCAGCATTCTCTGGGGGTCAGCTCTGAGGCTATACTATTCAATTGACTGAGTTCACTTCAGTTAGTGAGTGCAGTGCAGTTGAGTACAGTGGAGTGAAGTGAGTTTGCTGGTGAGCAGCCAGGGGACTGCTGCAGTTCAGTCGTGAGCTGTTGCTATCAGAAGCTGGTAACTGAGGCACAGGGATAGTTTGGGAATCCATAGTAAGTAGAATATCTGTCACTGGAAACTGTTACCAGGCAATGACTGGTGAAGAGATAGCAGACTGAGAAGACTTAGTTCGTACTGTAGTGAACTGCAGTGTGTGAATTAGCAATAGCGCTACATTTATGTGTAGTTACATTCTGTAAATGTTCAATAAATCCAACTAACAATCCAAACCCCATTTACAGTCACGTTCTAACATGTGACAATATTTAGCATTATATCCAATGTTTAATGGATATTGTGGTGAGTTTTTTATTACAAATTTTATTACATTTATTTACTTAGAGTCAGGAACAGCTTGTTTGCAGAAAACAATTTACTCATCTGAGAGGGAAATTTGATGATTGATGAGGTGTTTGGTGTAGGAGGCAGGTCATTTATATACATTATGAAAAGCAAAGACCCTGAAATTGACCCCTTGAGAACTCCATATTTTATTCTTCCCCAGTCTGTGTAGGTATTCTGGGTTAAATTTGACAATTTTATTTCAGCCTTTTGTTTTCTATCTGTTAGGTAGATATGAACAAACTTGCTGTTGTTCTTTGAATGCCCCCCCCCCAAAAAAGTAATTTAGTTAATAACATTTCATGATTTACACAGTCAAAAGCTTTTGCCAAATCATAGAATATTCCAACAACAGGCATTTTTTGAATAACATATTTTAATACACTGTCTGCTAGGTTACAGGCTGCATTTTCAGTGGATAGTCCTTTCTTGTAGTAAAACTGTTCTGGGACTACTATATTATAAGTCTCCAAATAATAGCTTAACCTACTGTGAATAACTTTCTCAGATACTCTAGAGAAAGTAGTTAATAGTGAAATCGGCCTGTAGTTTGATATATTAGTTTTGTTCGCTTTTTTCGTACAGTGGTCTTACCACTGAAAACTTAAGATGATCAGGGAAGATCAGTGTGAATAGTAAATGATTACAAATGTAAATTAAAGGATGACTGATGAGAGATGTGCAAGATGAAAGTGGGGATTTGATCTTTCAAATTAGTAAGATTTTATTCACCACATTAGAAAAACAAACCTGTGACTTCCAGTAAGTGAGCACTCCATTTCTGAGCACAAACCAACGCTTCCTCCATGTCTTTAACTTCCCACCAAGTTTAGCTAAATGGCCAGCTTTTTCTAGAGATTCCCCAGGAACTCTTTTGTTGGGGCTATCCAGGTATGATGATACACGCATCAATAATGATGGCATTGATGACTCAATACTAGTAGTGTCAGCTCCACAGCAAGATAGAGCATCAGGTGGAACAGCGTAGTCATCAGACATTCCTGACTCAAAGGATGTATCTGTCACACAACATGAAATGACAACATTAAGTACATTTCAAATTCATAACACAGTATAAATGTAGTGAACATCTACTATTACTGAACTCTGTCTATAGTGTGTTCTAACATATTAGATAATGTCACACTTGTAACAAAATGGATTACATTATGAGATAAATGAATAAATCTGAAGAATGTTCTAGGTGTTTACTACATTCATCCAACTGGAAAGAAGAGACATTTGTGATGAGTGACAGCTTCAAATTGTTTACAGTAAAGAAGATGAGAAAATGTATATTTAATGGATGGATATTTACATTTAGTAATAATTACTATAATTTTTTAAGTTTAATTGAATGGATATACATTAAATATTAAGGTGACCTATAATATTCTCACTGGAAGTTAATTTGCTAAATAATAAATAATTTCATGTCTTTTGAGTGAGAAGGCATAGGCAGCAATAATGTTGAAATTTAAAAGACAAGAAAGTGTTTAATATATTGAAAATGAAACAATTTTGTTTATGAGGAATGCTGTCTTCTAGGATGTGGCGCTGTGTAGATATTGTATCAATCGACGTTTCGGAGTATCGTATCGCCTCCATCTTCAGGGTAGAAAAATCTGCAGACTGAGCCACCTACTCACACTGGTTCCTTCCTTATGGATTTTCCTACTATGAAGATGGAAGTGATAAGTTCCTCCATAACGTCGGTTCACACAAGATCTACATGGCACTACATCCCAGAAGATGGCATTCATTATCGTCACCGCTGTGAAAACGTCAAATCTGACATAATTTTGTTTATGTTAATATAGGTAATCCATTAAAATATAACTTTTGTTTATCCCCATATTTGTCTGCATACGTTTTGAGTCAACTCTCACTCTTGTAGCAAAATGCCATAGTTATTCAATGAAGTGGTTATTTTGTAAATTTTATTATCTAGAGTGCATGACGCCAAATTTTTGTCACAAATTAAGTTCCGCTCATTTACAGATTAAGATCATTATTAAGACTCCTAACATGTACAGTAAGCTCCCTATTGTCCAGCTTGTATGGGAAATGGGGCCCACTGGTTACATGAATTTGTTGACTGCATGAGAAAAACTCTTACAGAAACCCAATATACAGTCAAAAAAACATGCGTTCACTTCAGTTTTTATGAGAGAGTTTTTGCAGGTGATGTAGCAGATTGACAGGTGAAAGATTTTGGACGCATAATGTAACATGAGAGCTCAAAGCCAGAATTGTGGAGCCAGAAGAGATGTTCATTGCTAGGAAATGGCTTGGTAAAGGCATCTCCTTGGCAATGGATATGACAATATTCTTCTATTATTGGCAATGACTAACACTTATCACAATCCTTGCAGATATTAAAGGATGAAGTACTGACTATGTTTTTTAATTTTCTTTGTATATGTATGTGTTGAGAGGAGAGGACACTCCTTTACTTGAGAAAGGACAAGGTATGTCAAAGATATTTAATCATGACTGATGAAAATTAAGAAAACAAATACCCCTCTTCATAGATTTAGAAGGGGAGCCTGAAGAACTACGTTTTGCTGGAGATAGGCTGGACGTTGTCTTCATACTTTTGCTGGGACTAGACCCTGAACCACCAGTTGACAGGGAGGTATCAGTGTTGTCACTGCTGCTGTTTGTAGAACGAGTGTTGGTAACATTTCCTGATGCAGGTGTATTGGCAGCTGTGCTTCCAGGATGGTGATGGTGGTGATGATGGTGATGATGGTGCACAGCTGATACATTGCTCTCACCACCATGATTGTTATGTTCACCCACAGCTGTTATTGCTCCTTCCCCATCACTTGAGTCATCACTTGAGTCACCAGTAAATGGCATGGACCGGATCTGACTTGCTCGCTGTAAAGGAAGAACAAACACCTCATGCATATTTACTTTTCTCATTCATGTCACATCATGTCACATACTTTACACAGTTTCAGATTAAGTGAAACTAAATATAAGAAAACATTTTTTCACACTATATGAACTCATGTTCACAGGAACCAAGAACATGTTTGAAAAATAACAAAGAAACATTGATGTTCATTAAATGCTAACAGCTTATATGAAGCATATTTTAGACAGTGAATCAACTGCTACTTGTTATGGACTAAAGAACATGAACAAAGCTATATTTTCCACTATTTGTTTCTCATGAAGAGTTCAGTTTAGTGCCAACCTACATACTGTTACTAGATGATTGCATTTTGAGACTGTGTGTATTACTCTTATAATTTACTCACATTACATTGCCTCTTGTGCTTATCGCTTATTGTACTTTAACATGTTCAGTCTACTGTACCCTCAGTCTTGTATGCTGTGCTGTTTTTAATTTTCTTCTCATCTAAGTATTTTCATATCTTTCCTTTGTTATAACCTCAAAGTTGGTAACATATAATCTTAAAATATGAAAAATGTTCTTTTAATTACAACTCATTTTTGTAAGATGAAATGTAATACTGAACATTAGGGAAATACTATTATGAGATTTTGAATTGGTTGAACTGGATCAAAATAGTTTCTGACGGCACTTGTTACAACTCTGCATTCCTTACTTGTCAAACTATAGAGATTTGGATCCTATTGGTCCATTCTGGCTCTACATCTGGTCTGACCATCTCTTCATTCTGTTCACTTATGGTAGAACCAACGTTGACACAGCTAATCAAGAAAAGTAAAACTAAAGAGAATACAGCCGTAAGTTGTCTTGCTGATAATGTTCATTAAGAGCAGAAAGATGCTAATTACTGTGTTACAAATCTTTCATCAAGTACCCAGTCATTTTTTATAAAACACATCATTACAGAAAATTTGATAAAGACCAATTTGAACTTTTTGTAGGGTATTACAGCAGAAGAATACATATCAAAATGAAATTCACCTGAAAATTTTCAACAACCTTCAATAAGTGGTTTGGGGATTGAACTACATGAATGAAAAGGTAGACACATATGACCTCCCCACTATGTGTCCCCTTTATGCACTCAAACAGAGAGCACACAATGCACAGAACCAGTGACTACATAACAACTGTGAATTACACATTATTCCAATAAAACACATTCTTTGGAATATAGCTTCATACCCCTTTGACAGTAGCATAAACAGGAACACTGATGTCACAATAGCCTTGGGCTGAACAAGAACCTGATGGCTGCTTTAAATTATTGTTTGTTGTGTCTGCAGTACCAATCTGAGAGCCCACTGGAACCACCTGCAGCCCGTCTGCTGCCACCTGATAGATTCGGGATTCCCAAGAAGGGAAGCGGTGAAGTGGAGGAGTGGGAGGCTTTCCAGCACATTCCAGTGACAGTGAACCTCCACTATTGGTGCTGCTTGTACTGCCACCTGCAGTAAAATCATCTTATGAACTTTTGAACAGAATGTAGGTAAAGTACAGCTATCTCTGTGACAGGCTGTGAGATATCAAGGCTCTCACATCTTCTAGACAACTGGCTCACGCATGGCAGTAAGGTTGTCAGCCTTATGCGCTGGCAGCGCTTCAACCACCAGGAAGATTGCTGATACTCATTTCTGTTAGAGGTTGAGTCAACCCCAGGGCCAAAGTACAGATGGTAGGATTAAGCAAAGTGAAAAAACCAATGACCTCATCAGGAACCAAAACCATGACCTTCCATCTTGTAGCATAGGACCTCAACTAACTATGCTACTGTGTGCCTGCACAGAACGTCAACAATTGCATTTATTAATGGGGCCTAACTTAATATGAGATGAAATGTTCTTTGCTTTTATTTTCATTAAAAAGATTAGGTCATCTTGTATTTGTGAACAAAGAGAAATGCAGATAACATAAACACAATTCATTAATTTCTGAGCCATCAGACATCTAGCAACTTTAGCATACCTTGAAAATTATACATCCTTAGAATATAGTCTGGATACAAACATATTTCTAAAGAATTTACTGCTAGATTTTTATTCACCATTCATAATATAACATGACATGACGTAACACATAAAACATGATATGACACAACATGACACAACACAACATAACATAATTTGAAATGGGCCACAACATTGAATTCAACAGTACTACCATACTGGATAAAGCACCAAACTACATGCACTTTTTAATAAGGGACGCCATTGAGATCAGGATGCACTCCAGAAATTTCAACAAGCACATGGATTTCAATCTCAGTCAGTCCTGCTACCCAGTGATTAATATGATAAAGCAGTACCAAGATGAACCAATCCAGAGACAGGACTAGGACAAACAAACTTATGACTCCACCCACTAGCAATCTATTGGCTCATGCTCAGTTTTGATCACAGGAAGTTTTCACAGTGGCTAAAGCTGATAAAATCTTCTTGGGCTATCAGCCATGTCAGTTGGTTAAATATTACCAATGTTTCAGGGATGGTCATCACTAACTTTTAACCAAACGACATGGCTGACAGCCCAAGAAGATTTTATTAGCTTTATCCACTGTGGAAGTTTCAGATCTTACATGTGAGGTAGTATAAAACAAAGACTTTATTACAGATTCTATACTGACAAATAATGCATCACCTTGAGATATATCTCGATGATTTGATAATGAAGCACCACTTGCACCCAGCCAGGGAATCCTCTCATGGCTGGGTGTGTAAATCTCCGCATAGTCATGTGTGGTCTCATCGCCCCCACCAGAAACTGCACTGCAAGGCAGGGATGAAGATGGAAGTAGTGCAAGACTCTCCACTGCAGCCTGCAAGTCCCGGGTAAGCAATGAGCTGGACGTGTCCATCCCTGGACAAGGAAACCAAAAAATATGTTCAAAAATATGTTTTTCTTTAGTAGAGTCAAAATATCAAGAATTGTACTAAAGTGAACTTCTTTAGATTGATTTCACTCAGGCCAGTGGTACACCCAAAACGTAAGGAACAATTTTGTAACAATGAACAAACCTCAGATTTATAATACATGTAATACATAACTTGAAATGACAGATACACATAATAGATTGCATGATATGTCAGGTAGAGGAAAATAAAACTCCTCAAAGAAAAGTGTGCCCAACTGCTCATCTTTCTACTGTAGAATCCATATGAATCCAACTGAACTATATCCCAAAATATATTGTGACATGACACCTGAAAGCTGGAATATGTAGGTCAGTCAAAAAGTTCCCAGAATTCCCCTGCAGATGGAGAATGTACAATAAGATCGCACACACACTGTTGTGGTGGGAGCTCAGGTGCAACAGGTCTGGACAGGTTTCAGTGTGCAGTGTTGTTACTGTTCAGTTTGAATTAGACGTGAGTGTTGGTCATTTGGCACAATGTCGCAGTTCGAGCAGCATGCGAACATCAAGTTCACGTGCAAATTGGGAAAATCTTCATAGATGCATTGGCCCTGCAGCAAGTTTACGGTGATATTGCACTAAAGAAATCCGCAGTTTACAACTGGTTTTCCCAGTTTAAGAATGGGCAGGAGATGTTAGGGGATGACCAGCGCAGCGGGAGACCTTCGACATCCAGAACTGAAGAAATGATTGGAAAGTGCGACAACTGATTCGATGTGATTGAAGAATGACCAACGCATAGTTGGAGCAAGAAGTTGGTACTGTTACTGGTCATTTCTATGTGCAAGTTTAGCAGAGGTTGTGTGATGCGGTTTGGAGGAAGTGGCACAACAAGTGGCAAGGACAGCGGTTTCTGCATCACGCTAACGCAAAAAGCCACACATCACATGTTGTGCAGCAATTCCTCACTGAGAAAAACATTCCTGTCATCACTCAACCACCGAACTCTCCAGATCTCACTACTCCGAGTGACTTTTGGCTGTTCCCTACTCTGAAAACAGTCCTCAAGGGGACACGTTTCCCAACCATGGAGGTCATCAAATTAAATGCGATGGCTGAGCTCCAGAAGATTCCAAAAGAAGCCTTCCACCACTGCTTCCAACAATGGCAGGATCGATGGAGCAAGTGTGTGCGTGCACAATGGTCCTACTTTGGAGGTGATTAGGTAAGTGTTGCCATACGTCCTACCATTAGAGTGCTGTACCACCATTCCGGGAACTTTTTGACTGACCCTCGTAATTCACTGTTAGGCAACAGCTTGGTAAACACATTACTATGAACACCACAGTGGTGTGGTAAATAATCTCTGCAGCAGTGAATCAACATGCAACAATATAGGTAGTGGTGCTTTCTGTGGGGGCCACCTGAGGCTATATAATGAGGATCTCAGGCAGCTAGAATTACACCCGTGTGGAAGCAGGGTCGAATCCCTCCACAGTCACCCGGCAAGTTGTAGGAGGAGAGGAAAAGGGAAGTCTCAAATATGAGACAGTAAAATATGGTTGTGGGTACTAAGGGACTCGGACCTGAGAAAGAGTGTGCTGGCAAGGGCCAGCAGCATATACAAAAGACAGAACTGTCCTCTCGTCAGAGATGGCGCCCCACAGAAACAAGACCGTAACTGTCAAACAGTAATAAATGTCTGGTCATGAGCTTCAGATGGGGCTCTACACCAAGACTTACTGATTGACTGACTGTCAGTTGCAATGTGACTTTGACTTTGATTTGCTAGAATTAGAATTGAGTGAGTGTCTGGAGATGACAGAATAATTGAGAAGAAATGATATTGAGGGAATTAGGCTGTGTAAAGAAGACTTCATACTGTGTGCTGCAGTTACAGTGAGACTGTTACAGATCCATTGCCAGGATACAACTAGCGAAGACTGAGGACACTAATATAACAGTGAACTGTATAGTGTAGAAATATTAATAGCACTATAATTAATTTTAGTTAGCAGCTGAGTGTATAAGCGCAAAGAATCCAGTCATCCAATCCAAAACCCATCTATAAGTCACGTACACCCCCATGACATGACAATATGGTACATACAGGGTAAAGGGTTGGATGTGGTATCCATGGACATTAATATTAAGATGAATCGTACGCTCATGTTAGTCCACACATTTCAATGTGAATTCATAAGTGCCTCCTTAAAACATAGCTTTGTCCATGACTCAGTCAAAAGATTCATCACCACTACTGGAGCTTAATCAATGTAAGGGTACAAGTTATCTTAATTAAACTAAGTTACAGTCCATACCAGAGATGGGTTTAATTAGAGGCAAATACATCAAGTACTTACTAATTATTCAAAATAACTTCTGATGACCAACAAGATCTACCATCATATTCTATAGCTGTAGTGATAACTAGAAAGAAAAGAAATATTCCTATGTGGATAAGAGAGAAAATAAACGAACTACTACTGAAGACAACAGAATAGCATTCTACTTTGGGTCATTATGAATGATATCTTCAGATTTATTTCATTTTCATTAACAGGCTTCACCTGGAATATGAGGTGCAGTTACATTTCCACTGCCACTGACTGACTGCAGGCCACGGTGCCCCATCTCAGTATTCACCTGCTGTTGCTGCTGTAGACGTCTTTGCTCCACTTCTGCACATGATGGCTCCACTCCGATCACTCCTGATCCTCCACTATTTTAGAAATAATTTTTCACCAATTAAAGTAAAAAAAGCAGTGATGAATGTAAGCACATAAAGTGGGCTGAAGTTGGAAATGTATCACTATAACATATTCTAGAAATACTGCAGACATACCAAAAGGTTCAGTAGGCATGTTTCCCTTCCTGGCATTCATACTTTAACATCTTTTATAAAGAGAGCGGTCTTCTGGGATGTGGCACCGTGTAGATGTGGTGTTAACCGACGTTTCGTAGGAACGTATCGCCTCCATCTTCAGGGTACAAGGAAAAATAAAATAAAAATAAAAAATCCCAGAAGACTGCTTTCTTCATAGTCACCGCTGTGAAAACCTGAAATCTTACATCTTTTATAAAGACTGACTATGAATCCACATACATAACCCCAAGGTACAGGATATACCATGAAAAGTTTTTATGGTATTTATTCAAGTCCTTATGATACTGAAAGCTAAACTGTGTTACACTTACATAGGATATGACATTCATTTTAGAATTATATGCACAGATGCAATTATACACATTATACACACAATTATATTTAGTAATATCTACAAAAATCTATTGTTAAAGAGTATTTTGAAGTACATGAACACTTCAGTATTACAGAAGTTTTAAAGTAAAGTTTAATATGTCAAGTAATGCATGAAAATTATTCTCAGGGATATCATATATGTACTATGTTATAGTATACGATACATCATGAAGATAACTGTCCTACTGTGTAAGTTATAATGTATCTCTCTGTACAGATCCATGTATGAAGGTAGATAATACTGAACAGTTATAGAAAATCTTATATAATTTGGTCTTGACTAAGAAAGTGACACTATATGGCGCGAAATACTTTTGAGGTGCGCAATTTACAACTCAAACAAGCCACTGCTATATCATTTTATTGACCCTGTTATCTGTATTTGATTTGCTGATTGTCCACTGTAAGCAGGTGCACAGTACTACTGTCAGTAACTCAACTTGCATGTCACTTAAAAAAGAATATAAGGAATTATGTTTTGTCAAAAATTGTAAAGTATATAACAAATGTCAGGTTCATATATTTATTAAAAACATATTAGTTTCCTTAAAAACACTAGCCATATTATTTCCTGTAATAGGGCCATTAAATGAAATTGTTAATAAGTTAATATGTGAAGAGAGTTGGCAATTGAAAGAAATTCCTTCACCCTTAAGAGCTAATAAAACTGTATTTGAATTACGTTGAATTATGTGATGCTATGATGGGTGCCTGCCACATTTCCAACACATCATGAAGGTTAAATGATATAAGATGCTTATTTTCTATTAGTTCTGTAACACGGTTGCAATTTGATTTTATTCTCCATGCATGGAGTCAGTCAAGGAAGAAATGTGCAATGTACAGAGAGAGTAACTTCAATTTGTATTACCTCAATGAAGAATTGCCTGTAGTTGGTGCTGTGGCTGATGACAGCGGTCGTGCTGGCAGATCATGCAGAGGCATGGCTAAAGAGTCATCACTTGCAGTGGTGGTGGTTGTAACATCCAAACTCAGACTTGCCCTTGACGAAGATCCCTGCATCAACATTGTTGAAATTATTTTCATTTTCTTGTCAGTACTATGTTTTCATTCAGCAGCTTCAATACTGTTTCAGGGTCACAATTCCAATTATACTTGCAGGTTTCATGCAATTAGGCTCTTACTCCAATCTATATAGAGACCATACTGGCTTTCATGTTCTGCACAAAGCAAGCCTTTCGAAAAATGCTACTAGTGGAACTATACATGTTCATGTTTAGAAAAGGGTAAGAAATTGCTTCAATGATATATTGCAGGTAGATATATATACACAAAAATAAAAATAAAAGTTGCATACCTAAATAAAACATAATACATCAATATTCTGATTTCACTCAATGAATGCAATGAACATTCAACAATGAAATATGAAATTTTAAAAGAAACCTGAAATTGCATCTTTTAGTTAGCTTATTACAAGACTGAACATATTCAATGAAGCCTCTTCATAAAGCTATTTAAATGCTTATCCCACGTCACTGCACTGTATCTTGTTTATGCAAATATACAGTTTATACAAAGGCAACATTAGCCCTTTGTGCTACACTGGAAACTGGACTTATGCTAACATAGTAACATCCATCTACAATTATCATTGTTATCTGTTTTCAAAAGGATACATTATAATCACTTAAGCTTGTACCTAATCTGCTGGAGATACCGTTTGGAAGCCCGTGGTTCAAATCACAGACTGATTAAAACTGGACTTACAGATAGCATGACTGGAGGCTAATGGCAATCAGCTGAGTTAAAACAAAGAATAAAGCTATCCCTGAAACAGGCCGTGAAGGCCTATAGGGTTGTGGGATGTCAAGGCTCCCACATCATTTAGACAGTCAGCTCACAGATGGTGGTGAGGTTGTCAGCCTTATGCACTGGCCGCCCATTACTCCCAGGAAGATTCCTGGTACTCATTTCTGTTACAGGCTGAGTCAAACTCAGGGCTATGGTGTGGCTGGAAGGATTAGGTAAATTTGGGGGGGGGAGAGAAAAAATTCACCACATTGGGACTCGAACCCATGACTTTCTGGATTGCGGCATAGTGCCTCACACAACTATGCTACCACATGTCAGAGCAAACAGCTGAGTACTGATCTTATTTTGAAATGACAGTGAGACCACCAAGACACAGTTGCACAGAGCTGACAAGCCCCAAAATCTTACTATTATGTATATGTAAAACTTAAGTGGTAACAAGGAGGTGATGTAATGTGAAGGAATGAACTGGTGCAAATGACTTAGGTATATAACAGTCAGGATGCAAGGAGGGATTCAACCTCCAAATTAAATATCCAAACATGGAAACATCTACATAGAGTTGCTGTGTCTTTATTTTGCAATCTTTGAACAACTGTCACCTAAATTTCCACTGTATCTGCACCACTGACCACATTCAAAGCCTCAGACTCCTGTCTTATACCCTGGCAAAGCACCCCATCACAAATATCAAACCTACCATAACAGACAACAAAAATATCAAAGTGTACAAGGGCAGTCATACATTATCATCAGTGTTCATCCATATAAATATGTTCGCTGATCAACCTCACAAGCTAAACTTTGTGAACTGAAACAAACCATGATATTGCACACATCAGTTAGATGCTGAGAAACTTATGAAGTATGAAAAATTGCACAGGAAACTTTCCATAGGATGTTCACGATACTGAATTGTTGGAGACTCAACCACAAATAAGTAGAAAACAGGGATATTTAACTCATAAACATGGAGGGATAGATGTATCAAATGAAATCAGAATGTTACATAATATGTCTCTCCTTAATGAGTCATATGCTTTCTCCACATCTACAAACAGCCGAGGTACTGTCCCATTGTACTATCATTATTTTTGTATGGCTTAATATATCAGAACAATCTGATCAGATTCTCTTACAATGTAATTGTTATAGCTAAACTGTATAACAAGGACAACTGTATTACTACTCACTCCAGTGCTTGACCTGTCTTTAACTACACCAGCAACCAGCTGACTGTGTGCCAAATGGTTTCTCAGCAGCTCGAGTTGTGCATTGCACTTCTGATTCTGTTCACGCAGATGTTGGTTTTGCTCCTCAAGCTGAAATTATATAAGCATCTAGATCAACAGTAAACTGCTTATATGTCCACATCTTGTAAATTACCATCTTTTGGGCACATACACAATATATACAACAGGCTACTTTTAAAGTAGTAGTTCTGTGTTCTGCTGCCTTGTGGACATGAAGAAAACCTACGTTGGGCATGTAACACTTACATATGGAAAAAGAAATAAGATACTAATGATATTAAAATTAACTGAATTTAAAATATTAATAGATTTAATATATTTAAATTTATGCTTTAGCAAGCAGGAACATTATAGAATTATTTTAATATTAATAACAACTGTTTTACATATTTCATTTGAGGTCCTCAAAGCAGTAGTTACATAAAGGTCTGTTTTTCTGAGATATAATGCTGTGTAGTCCAGTGAAAGTTGATCAGTGTTTTGGAGGAACATATTGCCCCCATTTTCAGGGTGAAAGACTAAGCCAGCAAGAAAATAGCATGGATCATGAAGCAGTTGGTTGACTTTCACCAGACTGCATGGCATTATATCCCACAAGACAGAACATTCCACACAGTTTCATATGCTATCATATGTTAACATTTTTTTAGTAGATAACATAAATAGTTATATAGTACTCAAAGACTTATGAAGCACCAGTTTCTCTGACCGACTTCTGAACAACTTTCAGCAAATAACCTATAGAGCTGTATAGCATTCAAGGCCTTATAGGGCACCTGCCTCCATGAAAGCTTGCCACCTGCTCCTTGCTGGTTTCTTGCCTAGCTTGGTCTTAAATCCTGAAGACAAAGCGAGTATATTCCTCCAAAATATCTGCTAATGTCAATTAGGGTACATGGCACTACATTCCAGAAGACAGAGCTCTCCATAGCTATTGCTGTAAGAACCTGAAATCCAGCAACATATTCCTAGAAATGACATAAACAGTTGTACAGTATTCAAAGGCCTTATAATGCACCAGTCTTTCTAAAAGAATTCTAAACAAAATGTATTTCTTTGTACACAGTTCACTGCATCTTCTTTTCACTTTCTGCAAGAAGTTCACTACAGGAGGACAGGGATCATGATTTGGTGTTTCTACACAATTCAATGATACAAACAATCTTGAGTCAACAGATTTTTCTCTTAGACATATTCGGTGAGGTTACTGTATCTTGTCAGGGTCAGAAATTACATTTTCTGTGGTCACTGACTGGGAAGATATTCAAAACACTGAAACAGCCAATTCTGGTAACAAGTATGGCATACAAATGACATAGTTCTGGTACTTCATAAATTAAAGGCCAGGTATCACATATGCAGATGTCCTACCACTGTGAGTGAATATGTTACACCTACTGTAGTGTCCTTAAGATCAGAGCAGGGTGCTAACTTATCAAAATGTCTCTGGGAGGTTTTCTTATTCTTAATTGGTAGTAGTAGCAAGCACTACAGGGCATCTGGAAACTACTTTTAACATCCAGCACTTTCACAATTGCTTTCATGAATAATCCTGTGACTGCTCTGCCTTATCTTGACCCAGTACGCACAGCATCACGTTGATAACTAACAGTTTTCATAGTCAAGGGTTCTCTTTGAGGAACTGATAGCCACTCATCTCGTCACAAAATCCATTGCCTTTTATGAAACTCTGAGGTTTATTACCATGTACACCACAGCCCACCAGTTGACTCCAGTCCATAATCTGTTATCTTATTTCTTTAAGATACATTTTAATATTATCCTCCCATCTATGCCTAAGTCTACCATTTTTTTTGCCCTTCAGATTTTCTCTCTAAAATTGGATACACATTTCTTGTCTCTTCAGTCCTTACCCATCCTATCCTTTGTGATTTGATTGTTCACCATAACAACGTTTAGTGAAGAGTAGTAATTATTAAGTTTCTTATTATGAATTTTTCACCCTTCTGTTAATTCCGCTTGGTTAAAACCAAATATTCTGCACAGATTCCTCTTTTAAAACACCCTCAAATCTGTTTTCTTCCTCCAAATCATATGAAATTATAAATGCAGACAGGATGATTATAAGATTCTGAACTGAATAGTAGCAAGCATTAGCTGAATTTAATCTGCCTTCATTTTCAGGGTTAATATAATGTTGCTGTACCTGAAATACTGCCTGTAATTTTCACAATTTTTGCTCATTTCTCCTGTGACAGTTATGTAGCCAGAGAAAGACTGTACACATTTTCTGATATACAAGTTGAACTATTTAGATGATTCTACTGATCACCTGTTAAGCATATGATAATTGTTAATGACAGCATACATGTCAGTATTAAAATGTGTCCATGTCACACCAGTAAAATAGTGCTCTACAGACAAACAGTGGAATCGTCATATAGGCTCCCCTTCAGGATGAACATACTCATACTTAGATAATCTGCAAATCATCATTCACTTTCATGATGTAGTAATTTCTTGTGATTATTTTTAACTTAACAGAATCACAGTACATGATTCAGTAATATACAAAGTATATCAAACCTTATAGGATGTTCTCATCCCATAAAAATATTTTAGTATTTTAACTGAAATCTTGAGCTCTAAACTGAGAAGATGAAGGGGTAAGAATAAGATTAAAACTGAAATTACTTTTTGAGTATACCTCAGAAGTGAACTGTAACGTAATGCAAGCATACTAATTGAATTCCTGTTAGAGATTATGTTCAGGGCACTATAAACACCAATGGCTGGATTACGGGTAGGAAAGGGCTATAAGACAGCTCTGCTTCATGCAACATTATATCTAATGCAGGAATTATCTCACCTCCCGAAGTTTATTGGTGACCCACTCTTTGATTTTGGCTGCCTTTGCCTCCACCTGTTTGGCGTCTTGCAGTCGTAGCAGGCGCTGGAACACAGTACAGCACCTCACAGTAAAACATTTACTACCAGTCACAACAAGAGTCATCATCATCACCGCCGCCACCACCAGCTGTGTCAGTATGCTGTAAATACTGAATTTAAGTGAACCCTGAGTACAACAATGATTTGAATTCAAATAAGAACAATAAAGGGTGAAGCATTTCAAACAGTTAAGAATTTATGATCAGGGTGCACTTAACCTCAGCATTCATGACACCATCACACCTAAAAATTAAACAGTGCATGCATTTCATTGTTTAGTCACAGTGTCCATTTTTGATCTAAATACTATCAATTAATATGGCGGCTCAAGCCTGAAGAATAGAATATGTTGATTTATTGGCTGCTGTGATAGTTTTCTCTCTGTTTTCCCATACTGGTCTGCAATGCAATTACATATCAACTATAAGATGATAGCAAAAGCAAGTCATGCTTTATCTGTTTAGGCAAATTTTTCATTTCGTTTTAATGGGGCAGACTTCTTCTTGACGAGTTGAGAGTCCTTCAGCTGATCAAAACACTCATTACCTTTCACAGAAACCAAAGACCAGGTACAATGTTTACAAAAGTTTATCACGAGATCCTATCCTGTGCCAGCTGAATCCAGTCCATATTCTCATACAATATTTCTTTAATATTCACTTCATTATTATGTTTCCAAACAGTGCCTTCCATTTAGGTTTTCCAGCTGAAATTCTGTATGCATTTCTGATTCCTATATCCATCCTAATTGTCCTGCTAACCTCAATATTAGCAGCAGCAGCAGCAACAACAACGACAATGACAATACCTACAACAAAAAATGCCGCTGCCAACAACAAAAACAAGAACAAAAACAACAACAATGACCCTTTAAAATACAACAGTATTGCCTACAAATGTAACAGCTTTCCTCTTTGTTACATGCTCTTCTCTCTTAACACACCTTGTTTGTCTAGTATGCTCCAAACAATGCTAGTTATCCCGTGATAAGCAGCCTCCGTAGTCTAGGGGTAACGTTCCCACCTCATGACTCAAGGTACGTGGGTTAAAACCTGGCGGAGGTCATGGAATTTTTAAGGGCGGAAAAATTCAGGGAACAAGTCCTCCGGGAGGGACTTTAAGCCGTGGGTCCCGTGTCGTAGATTTATGGCATGTAAAAGAACCTCATGTCTCTAGGAGAGCTCTGAGCTAAATTTGGCAAAAAGTTTCCCGCCCAAAGTAGTTTCCAATGCCTCCGGTAGATGGGGAAGTATTAGGTACCACTGCCAGAGGAGGGGGGACCTCTCTGACAGAAAGGGACTAACTATTAGATACCACTGCCAGTAGAAGGTTGGAACCTCGCTGGCAGAAAGGGGCTAATAGTGAGCACCAGTACCGGTGGGGTATGGAGACAGAAGATATTAAAAGGGGGACGCACAATGGACCAATAACTGGTCTAAGTGCATGGGGAAACCCACCCCGTCTATACTCAATACTCAATACTCAATCCTGTGATAACAAAGTGAAACAAAATCTGAAGGTAGAAAATGACTAATGCTTGTTTTTTTAAATGTTAATGTTTCATAATACTACCATTGTATTGAAGGTGAGAGGCTGCTAACCCCAAGCTTGAAGTCTGCTGCTTGCTGACTGTCTATGACCAACATTGAACATATTCCTAGATACTACCCATGTCTGAAGTCTGTCTCCTTCATCCACAATCGGAGACCAAGCAAAACTGTAGTGATGAGGAGTCCACTTAAATAACAGACTGTCACAGCAGCAATCCAAAAATAATCCCTGCTGTCAGCCACCACCTGATTACAGAACTGTTCTGCATATTTCTTCCTACTCTAAACAAATTAAATAATCATCACATTGTCCTCCATTACTGATGAAAATGTTAGTTTTAGCAGTCAAGACAGCATACCTGCTCTTCCACCTGAGTTTCAAGTTTGTTGATGACAGTCTCTTTCTCTTGAACAGTGCTGTTAAGGCTCGACACATGCTCAGTTGTTTCACTTGGAGTCCAGTCTGTCTGAGCAAGCCTCTGCTCCATCATCCGAACCTAGACAAATTACATTTCAACTAAATATTTTGACATTACTCCTCACAATCCACAATCCAAATGTGAAAATTCAGTAGTTGATCTGAAGCCTAACTGTTATCTTGTCATTACAATTACAGAACCAAAAACCATTTCTGTTCAAAAGTTACACTTCACTCAAAACATGTATCAAGAAAGGCACTTTTTACATATGCAGTCTATGTGTGGCCACTACAATCCAAGGACAGTACAATAAGCAGCATGTAAATTGCTCATGTGGATAATGAAGCCTGATGATGTCTTTGATAACTGTTATGAAGAGGCTAATGAAACTAAGTTGTAGAGGTCATAAAATGGTGCTGTAGTTTCAGATGTCAATATTTATTGATGTACTGCACACAGTACTCTTAATAAAAAATCAATTACAATTACAAGATCAACAAGCAATTTTAAAATTGATGACATTAATGAATTTATCATAAAACACAAGATATTTAGGAATTTATAATTGGTTTGTTATGACAAAATGTGATTTCAAGGAAGCTGGTAGTCTCACGTGTACCAAAAAAATGGATCATTTTTAAGAGCAAGAACCTGGATTGTTAAAGTAGGAAACGGAATGAGAGTCTCTCTTATTAAGCTCCTTTCTTCATTTTTATTGATGCAGGCATGTAATACTGTGTTCCATATGTTCAAAAAATAGGTGGAAATGAACTAAAAAAGAGAATAAAATATTAAAGAAAAAGAAGGAAAATTGATACAAAATTAAATAAAATCAAAGAAATCAAAGCTACAACAGGAAAAAAACAAATAAATAATAGAATGATAAAAATATATGAGAGCAATGGAGAAAGTGAAAATCAGATGAATGCGAACAAGAAAATAAGGCGTAAATAATAGAGGATATGAATTAAACAAAAACAGGGAATTAGAGTAAAGTGATATATGAAAGCAATTAAAAGCAGGAAGAAGGAAAAAAGGAGAGAGCAATGGAGAAAGTGAAAATCAGATGAATGTAAAAAATAAAATGAGGCATAAATAATAGAGGATATGAATTAAACAAAAACAGGGAATTAGAGTAAAGTGATACATGAAAGCAATTAAAAGCAAGAAAAAGGAAAATATAAAATAAAAGTAAGGAACAAACTAAGATGAGCAAAGAAACATACAAAATAGGAAATGAAACAGAATTAAATCAGTAAAGAAAAATGAACAAGCAATTCTGGAAATAACTTGTAAGCCTATTTTCCTTTAAATTCTTGCAGAGACTACAGAAACTATACATCAATAATTACAAAAATGAACATTGTATTTGTGTACACTGTTTCATTGTTGCCATCATGTACTATGTTACAGTCTGGTCCTTCTGACCATTCACACTACTTACAATAATGTGACCTACTATAGAACTTTGCAAGATTAAGTGCTACCTGCTCTGAGTCTGCAGTATAAACTGCTGCCACCAAACCCACTGGTAATACTAATTAATGCTATGATCATGAGGGTCAGGAATACAGTTTCTAATGACAAAGACATTGTTCTTGAATCTGTATTACCTTTAATTACAATATTTTTCTTTCAAAACATTTGCACTCCACCTTGCAGTAAGATCTCTCTAGCCTGTTTTCCTTTAATATCTCATAACTCTTACACATCTGTCCATTTATTGCATTGGCTGTAGCTCTGCTTCACATTCACTTACTTGAAAGAAAATTCAGTGCACTCAGGACTGGCCACAGGTACGGAAAATCCATGGCTACAAGCAAGGACAATGATTCCCTGTTGTCCCCAGACATCTCTCTCTAGTGGTGTTAAACTGTCCAGCTCTATGGTCAGAATGATCAAAAAGACCCTTCCCATAACCTCTTCAAATTACCATCAAACTCATGAATCAGATCCATAATGTGTATATATTAACTGTCTTTTAGTGCATACAATTTCACTTGTCACTTCACACTACATGTTTCGGCATCATTCTGCCATCCTCAGGTGTATTAATCACGTTAAACCATTGCATTGCCTGCCATCAAGTGTCCATTTATAAAATGATATAAAATGTGTGTTCATCGTTGTTTAATAATAAAATTTACATATTAAAACTTGTTAAGATCTATCATCTTACATGTCATATCATCATGTCGTCATGAATCAGTGTTTTTCACACTTACACACAAGCGCGGGCAGGGAACTTGACATGAATTCCATATTCTTGGATTGTGTATATTATGAAATTCCCAATTCCTCTTTTTCATCTATATACCAACTACCCTTTATGGTTATACTCAGTGATACTAAACTCCCAATAGCTGGCAGACACTAACATCATGTTTGTAATATTCAAGTGTAAAGAAAGGTTCATTCAGCAGACATTTCAGACATATTTCTGATCTGATACAATTCCAAATTTCCCATGTTTATCTGTAGTGGTTTCTTTACTTTAGCACTGAAAGCAATGCAGTTAGCTTACAGTATGCAAAAAGAAAAACACAATAACATTTGCATAACCTTGGAAGGTTTATCAATGCACAAAAAGTCAGGGTACTGCACTAAATGATGGTAATGTTGTTTCCACTTCAGAAGTTTGAATGACTGATGTACTGGTATCATTGATGAAAGGAGGTTAAAAACAAAAAAAGGAAAGTGGCCTCTAATGACATGATGATCACATCAGTTTCCTAAAAATTTTGAGGGGACAGGGCAAACACATGAAGGTTACGTGATACAATAAAATTCTCTCCCCTTTTAAAAGGAAACGAAATCTGGTTAAAACTGGCATAAGAAAATAAAAAAGGAAATATATCAGGAAGAAGGACATGGGTGTCTGAATCAATTAACTTCAGGATCCCATCGATCGGGCTGGCTCCTGCTAGGGAATCCCAGTTAATCAGCAGCTCCATGACTCACCCAATGGAACTACTACTTATTCTTGCTGAATAGGTGTCACAAACTTCAGTCAAGTTTAGTTCAGTTAAATGCTCACTCCTTTTACATATGACATATTAGAGAGGACCTTTGAACAATTATCAATACTTGGTTGATAGTTTGTTATAGTCTACCCTTTTGTGCAGACTCAGCGATGCTTTACTAGCCTGCAAGTACAAGACTGATTCTTGAGTTATGTAACAATTTTTGTTTTACTATTTAAGTTATGTATGGTCAAATGGTAGGATGACTGTGTAAATTAGGAATTGGGTAGGGTCAACAAAAAAGCGGTCATGGCCTATTTTAAAGTCCTACTACATAATTTGCTGGAGGGAATGAGGACAACCATAAAAATCATTGGTCACTGCGACTACACTCCACATCAAAATTCTAACATGGGACTTCCAAAATACACCACGTTAAGTAACTGACCATGATATTCCGTCAGTCCAGTAGCTTTTCATAAGAGTAAACATATACAAAACTGAACTAAGCACTAGAAACATATCATGTCCAAAGAAGGGCAGAAAAGTTTGACCACCAGAAATCATACAGAAAGTTAATGACAGGAAGACTGGTATGGTGGATCATGTATTGGAGTAGGCTTAGTATATTTACCAGACACTGAGATTGTACATCGCTCACTGCTACCATTGTCCATTTAATACAGATACAAACTCTTGTTAACAAAGGTGATTACCAGTAATCCATACAAATTACTGACACATAATAATCAAAAATTCCATTCACAGGTCTGATTATAGGCTGGAGGTCAGCTAACCTACATGCAATATTTCTTTGATTTCTTCAGTCCTCCCTGACAAATGCTGTTAATAGTGCCTTAAAACTTTGGGAACCTCTGCCCTACACTACTGAGTAAGTTAACTAGGGTAAAATATAATGCTGACAACCCTTACTTTTGTTGCTTCACTGGAAGGATGGCATGCAGTCCTGCATGAAAGGAGATGTGAGGGTGTGTAAGGACATGGATACGGTCTAAATGACTGTAAATAAAACAGCAACTGTTTCACTCAGCCCCCTGGAGCAGTAATTCTGTAAGTCGGTTTTATGAGGACGGCCTCATAAAAATAGCCATGTGTTCGTGTTCTGATGTTACATATTTGATGAGTTCTCGACCACACCAGGACATTACGGCCAACTGGACAACGCCAGATGCTTCTCTTCCAGCCGCCATTACAGAAAGAAGAAGAAAAAACCCGTTGTACGAGAAGCTACTGCCACAAGTAAGTTACCTTTTGTTTTCATTTTATATTGATAATTTTGAGACTACACGTATTAAAAAAATGACCTTGATCATGTACAAGATGTAGACTGATGTTCAGTGCTATTAGCCCTTTAAAACTGAGTGGTTAGTATCCATATCACCTCTTTGGACATACTCTGCATTCAGCCCATAGAGAGCATTTGTGTGTTTCGTATGGTTTTCATATTAAACGACGACTGTTTCCCCAAACAGCATTACCTGATTGATCTTTGTAGCGGAGCTGTAATATTGTGGCATATAGACCCGTTGCTAAGCAGTGTCTATAAACAGTGGCCGTTGCTAGGTAACGCCTGCAACATTCACTCAACAGAAGAAGTGTTCTCTATACCTTCCGTATATATACCATTATGTAACAAAATTGTGCAGGCAACAATCAGAAGTCATACAGAGTCATGAGAATGAAAATATTCTCGGTATAGGGCAAAACAAAGCCAGACACAGAAAATATAAGAGGCTTATACTTGGCGGTGGTCAAGTTTAAGACCCTTCATATGTCTGAGCTGCCGTGGTAGCATAAGACGCATAAGATAGGCATGCTCTGCTCTGTAAATCCTGTACTGATAAACACTTGTGTATAGTGCAAAACGATGGATTTTCAATAACATGCTATATGTAAGATACGTATACTTGACAAAGGCCAGGCATATTCACAAGAGAGAACTCATTTTCTCATCAGAGAGGATGTTACATAAAGACTATTACTGGAAGGGTTCAGTTGAAAAGAAAAATTTCCGGTCGTGAGTCTCAAGGGGGTTGACGCCAATACGAACTAACTGGCGGCAAACCGCCAGTCGCAAATTAACTCTGATTTTGA